ACTGCGCAAACGACAACATCTGAGATCGTTCATTCTAATGCAAGATAACGCACGTCCACACACAGCCAATATCACCAGACGTTTCCTTGAACGGCACGACATCACATTACTGCGACATCCAGCAATGAGTCCAGACCTCAACCCCATTGAACATGTTTGGGACATAATGGGCCGTCGGTTGCGCAGAGAGTATCCAAATTTGCAGAACTTAGCCGCATTAGAGCGCGCACTTCAGCAAATTTGGAACACCATTCCGCAGCCTGAGATTACCCGCTGCATCAATATGGCTGAACGCTTGAGAGCCGTTATTGAGAACAGGGGTGGCAATACCCGTTATTAAATGGGAACTGATAGACGGACAGACGCAGATACAAACACACACACACATACATACACACTCTTTTGAGAATGAGTTTGGAGTCGTTAAATACAGTGGAACTGACGAGCCAACGAGTCTCATTTCTCCTAAAGAAACACACATACACACACACACATAGACATTTTTTTTTTTGGTTACCTTAAATTTGAACGCTGTTTGTGGTAAAAGTATGAAAAAAGCTCAAAAAAAATTTTTTTTCCATTTTGTTGAAGATTATGAGCGTTTAAGAGCAAAAAACGTGATCCTTTAATTTTTTCAAAATTTTGATTGTTCGAAACAGAAAAACGGTTGGATAGATCAAAATGAAATTTTACAGGGTTTTTGTGGGTATATTGAACTGTAAAAGGCACATTTAACATTAGTCGTTTTATCAATATTTGTAATTTAGCCGTTGTTTTTCTAAAAAACCCCAAATTGCCTTTTTTTTCCTGTTTTTTCAAATTCATGTGAAAGTTAAAAAAAAATTTTTTTCGTGAATATCATTATCAATCCTTTTAGAGAATTTATTCCAGATTATGGAACCACCCTTAGATTTTCTGTGCGATCATTGGTTCCTGAGATACCGATGATCAAAGCCAAAAGGGTCCTTTTTCACTCAAAGACCGATATCTCAGCGAAAAATGGTCGTATCAAGATTTTAAAAAAAGCAAATTAAAGCTGAATAAACAAGCTATCGGATACATGCACTGGTTTAGCTAAAAAATTTTTTTCCGAGTCTGTGGACTCCAAAAAACAAATGAAAAAATTTGCAAAATTTTTTTTTTCACTATTTCTTAGGATTGCGTAAAATCTGGGGCTTCGAAAATTTTTCGGCCAAAAGAACTCTAAACTAGACACTTGGCGCTCCAATTTGCTTTTTTTGCAACTCCGATACGACCATTTTTAACGAAGATACAGCCATTCGAAAAATCGCAACAAATTTGGAATTTTTTTTTGATCCCTTAATTTTTTCCACTAGTGTAAATAGGGTGCATATGAATTCTTTATATTTTATATAAAGGAAGAGACTTAAAATATTTGCAACATCTATATTTTTCGAGTCAAAAAAACTTCAGAGGAATCAGTGATTAATTTGACAAATTCTATATATATATTAATAATTAGATTTTTAAATAATTAAAAAAATGATTGATAGATATCAAAGGTCAGTTTACTGATAATTAATAAGATTTATAGAAATACGATTAAAAATGTTTTTATTCCACAGCAGGCATTTTGTGTTTTGTAAATAAAAAGATATAGATATGACAATGAATATAGAAAAATATTTATTTCATCTTTGAATATTACAGTATCTTTCGCAATTGAATAATTTATTTACTATCAATTTACATACATAAAAATATCTTGTTATACAGCACTAATGCTACCGACATTTCGTGCACATAGCACGGAACAAAACCAGAAATTGTGCACATTATATATTACTCTCTGAGAACATTTATGGACTTTGGCTTTGTAGTTCATGTCCACGTTTTCAATGTCCATAGAGAGAGTATCGCTTTCAGAGATCACCTAAAAGCAGGCCATGACATCTCTCAGTCTTCTCTCTGATAGAAATGATGTTAAAGGGTGTTTATGACAACTAATCGGATTTTTGATCGGACTGAACAGTGGTTCTCAGCGATAGACTTTCTAAATTTCCCTAGACTAATCCGGATCAATGATGTGTCTCTGAAGTAATCGAATTAGATTAACAACTTATTCTTATTTTATAGAAAACATCTTATTTCGGTAAAATACATTTGTTTATTAATATATATTTGATAAATAAAGATATATTAATTAAAAGAATAATAAAGTATCTTCTATAATTTTAACAACAAGATAAGAAAACTAGCGTCTCCGAGCCACAGCGGATGGTAGGTAATGCCTAAAAATTCTTTAATTGTACACGAAAATTTAAACGAGAACAAGGCATATGCATATATTTTACTTGGTGCATTTACCAAGATATATAGATTCTCATTTTTGAGAATAAAATCCTCTTTACCCCGTGAAGAGACGTAGACGAGAAAAATATCGGGGCGAAGTCGCTGAATCGGGAATCGAACCCGAGTCTTTTGCTTGCAGGGCGACTACTCTTACTACTGAGCTATTCAGCCCCACACCGATATCACTCTCGCCTATTTGTTTATAACTATGAAAAATGAAACGTGATCTTTTGCGTGAATTAAGGGGGGAACCTCATGTAAATAGCCTGTTTTTCAGGAATTTTTTTTGAAAAATGTAATGCGTAGATTAATTTGCAATTTAAGGCACAATTTATTTACGTTATAATATTTAAAGAAAATATTTTTTTAAGACTAATCATTAACAATAAAACGGTGCAATGGCGGCTTGAAAACAGCGTCTTGAAAATGCGCCGTGCAGCATGCAGGTCACAAAAATGACCTGAAACAAAAAATACAAAATGGGTTCTTTAGTTTATGCAAAAACGCTCAGCATGACGGTCTCCTTTTATTAAAATTTGCAAATTTGCAAAAATGGCGAAGTTTTGAAAAAAAAAAAGGATTTTCTTTTATAAACAATTGTTAATAACAATGTTTTAAATAAAAAAATTAAAAATCGGAGCTCGTCATGCTGAGGCCAAATATCTATAGAATTTCTATACCAAATTTCATAAAGATCGAATGATTAGTTTTTGAGCTACGTTGCACGGCGTGCGAAATTTTGCGTTTCGAGAAAAACGCGTTTAAAGTTTGAGTGATAGAAAAATCGTGAAAAAATTCGTAATTCGTTCTAACTTACCGCAGTTTTTTGCTAATCTGCGATTCCAGGGCCATAGAGTAGACCTTCCTCTTCTTCAAACTGCTTTACATTAGTAGAAGCTCTAACACAGCCAAGTCAAACTTTATTACAAAGGAACCGAAAGGCCGATTGTCCGACGAGCGCTCGACTATTTGAGTGCTCCGCCCAATTCGACTGTTTACTTTCTTTTGAAAATAAAGTACAAGGAGCTCTCGGATCACTTTCTAACTTTTTTTCTCGTATTTTTGAGGAAATTTTCTATCAATTTAAGCAAAAAAATAAAATGGCTAAAAAATTTCATTTTACATGAGGTTCCCCCCTTAAACTAAATCGAAAGGAATTAGGCTCGTTATGTATTAAACAATAAGATAAAAAAACTAGCATCTCCGAGCCACAGCGGATGGTAATGCCTAAAAATTCTTTAATTGTACGCGAAAATTTAAACAAGAACAAGGCATATACATATATTTTACTTGGTGCATTTACCAAGATATATAGATTCTCATTTTTGAGAATTCTATAAAATCCTCTTCTATAATTTCTTATGATGTTTTTCACAATTTTTTCGATCAGCTCGACCGCAATTTCTTTCGATGACTGTTAATCTAATTCGATTATTTCAGAGACACAACATTGATCCGGATTAGTCTAGGGAAATTTAGGAAGTCTATCGCTGAGCACCACTGCTCAGTCCGATCAGAGATCCGATTAATTGTCGTAAACACTCAAAGTTGGCCGTAAGCAGAAGTAAGGCTGATGGCAGAGAACTAGATGTCTGTCGTAGTCGAGGACGTAAAGTGAGGCAGAGAAAAACGTATGTCGTACAAGGCCATTGTGACAATGGCCTTGTACGACATATGTTTTTCTCTGTCTTACTTTATGTCCACGACTACGACAGACGTAAGCGCTCACGTCTAGTTCTCTGCCATCAGCCTAACTAGGATTTTAACTGGTTGACTTCTGCTTACGGCCAACTTTATCATCATTTCTATTGTCTTCTAGAATACATAAAGCTAAAGCAATATTCTGATTGGTTCTTCAGCTTACGTTTACGTTTTACGTTTATGGTTTTGGCAATTCATGTGCAAAAGCCTTTAAGGTTATAGCACACACTTTCTATAAAACATAACAGTAAGGTTTCGACCAATCGTGTTGCTCAATTTGGCCGTCCGTAACTAAATTGAGCAACGCAATTGGTCGAAACCTTAGTGTTATGTCTTATGGAAAGTGTGTGTTATAGCCTTTAGCGATCTAGTTATGGCATAACGCCATAGAGTGATCACATCTCTCAAGATCCTTCTAGTAAATAACATCTGTGCCGATGGAAAACAGTGGGGTCGGCCATTTTGGTATCTAAGTAGCGTCACGCATCTTTGAGTGCCTCCCATAGACATATATAATAGACTGCGCCATCCCGTGAGAGGAGCTGACCACCACACTGAAGGACAGAGACATTGCACGAGTAATGCTCTCTCTCTCGTTCTCTGTTAAGAGTGGGGAGAAAACGAGTGAAGGAGAAAGGCAACGTCGTAACAGAACGCGGATGATGACAGTTCAAGTCTCGTCGACCAAAAAAAATTTTTTTTTAATGTAAAATTGTTTATTATAATTATACTTACCGATAAAAATACATTGTTTATAAAGTAATACATTTACATTTTATATCTTTAATATAATAGAACATAAAATATATTTATATATTATATATAATATAGAGTATATAATATAGAGGTCTATATAAATATAATTGAACTGATAATAAAGGTAATTTTAAAGAAATACTTTTTTTAACAAGAACGATACATTTTATTTAAATAAAATTAATAAATTAAAATAAAAACATATACATCTATATATTTTTTGTCATCTTTGTCTTTATTGATTTTTAAATAAAACCATTCGATTATGGAAAGTTCTAACGCGTTGCACTAAATCTTGTGAAGATTTAGCTTCGTGATGAAGACGGATTTTAAAATATTTATTCAAAATTTGATTAATTAAATTTAGTTTATGATTATCGAAAATCGTTTCTTCAAGAAACATATCCATTTTTGAAAAAATATTGAAAGGAAGCAAAAGTTTTTTGGCATGTATCATTAATTTTCCAAGCACATTTTTTGTACAGAATACATTTGGTGTACTTCTTAACACTTTTTCCGCAGTTTTACAAATAATAATTACGTCATCGCTTGGTAATATTAACCCTTTTATTTTAGACAGAGAATTAGCAGTTTCCTTATTTTTTGTTACTCTATTTTTCAAAGTTATCAGCTTTGAAGAAGTAGAGTCATTCTCTAATTGATCAAGACATAACTCACATTTAATTGATTTTTTGATACTTTTCACAATGAAACCAGCAATGTATGTTACGATTTCATGGCTGTATTCACTCCATGACCACCCATAACTGCCCATGTAATCGTGTTCAAATTCAACAATACTGACAAGTTCATCGTTAAAGATTTCTGTATTTGTAGAAGTATCATTTATTTTTAGTACATTAGTATCATCCTGCAATGTACAGTTTGCTGCATCTGGAACAATCGAATTAACGTGAGATACTAATTTTTTGTAACTTAATTTAAATTGACGACATGTAGGATTGTTATTAAATCCGCCCATCCGTCGAATGCAGGAAAAAAATGTCTCCAGATGATCCTGTGACAATTTATAAGTGAGAAGATAACTCATTAAGAGTTTTCCTTCTCGAAAACATACTGTGCTAATTGTAACGCGCTCTTCATAGCTACAATCAGACCCCAAAATCCTATTTTACGTTTACTTTTCAAAATTGGGATTCTCTCGTTTGACATTGCATTTTCGATAATTTTGAGAGATTTGATATAATCAACATGCTCTGTTACTATTCGTTCCATTTCTTTTAAATTTTCTTTCGTAATGCAGTTCTGAGAATCACTTTTTGAAAATTTCCTCCGCGAATTCAAGAAATCAAAAATGTCGTTAATTTTTTTACAAAATTTAGAAGTTGCTTCAACGCCAATAAAATCTTTAGGAAAAGTTTCTTTCATGAAAAGCAAAGCATCAGCAACAGAATTACTGAATGTCTGAGCAGCTAGCTTAACTTTCATTTTTTCTTTTTGAAAATTTATGTGTCGTCGACGGATTTTAGTCGCTGGATGTAAGCGATATTCTTCTTGACGCTTAACAAGTTTTATCAAGTAACTCCATTTTATTACGTTGCCTTCCTTGTCAACGATATTATACTCTGCCAATGTATTACGTGTTAATTTGAGCATGTGACAAGCGTCAGGTACAGCTACTATTGGTTCTTTTGTCACAGAATGTTCGAAGACAGAATCTTTTTTAACATCACTTATATTTGCCCCTAAGTGCTTTATCATAGCCAAGTTAGTAGACGCTCCATCGAACGTTATGGATCGGATGTCACAGATTCCATGATTGTACAAGACGGTTAAAACTTCTTTTATTATATTTGCTCTAGTCTCAGCTGTTAAGCTTCTAATAAAATAATACGAAATAGGAGTCTTGAAATGTCCGTTTAAACAAACTAGCATGATCACTAATGCGTAAGTGGCTTCTTCAGATTCGTCATTATTAAGACCCAAGTCAACTTGTCCATGGTATTGTTTACCATCCCATTCGATCATTTTCTTGATAGATATTTCATCCACTTGCATTCCAAATTGTAGCTTAATTCCTTTCTTAGAATTTTCATCAATCATATTTTTTAAATTTATTAAAATTAGCTTATTTATACCAGGGCTCATATCAATTTTTGAGAACCATTTTCGCATAGTTTGGGGATGGGGTAGAGCTTTTATAAAGTTATTTCTTACATACTCATAGGCTGATGTCGAATAAAATAATAAGCTACAAGCAAACTCTTTAAGAGCAGGGGGATAAGTTTTTTTTTTTTTTTGTTAATATATTCTGCATTATTTCGGTTAATACTGGACTCGTAGTAAACTGGGAGGAAAAAAAACAAAAAAACGATGTATAAATAATGTATAAATAATGTTAATTATGTACGCATATCATTCTATCTTTATTCTACATTCTGTAAGAATAAAGATAGAATGATGCTTGTGTCGATTTATGTCGCTAAATGGAAAGCATTACTACAATAAGCGTTGCCGCGTCGAGTGCAGGAGCAATAAATTCAAAATTACTATGGATATTCATATTTATTTTAAAAAACATATTTATTTTAAAATTCATATTTATTTTATATATAAGTAATGTTAAATCTACTTATGATGGGACAAACACATAATTCGATGCAGTTATGACCACAATCGTTGGTACATGGAATAATTTTGTATAAATCTAATTACTCACTTCCAACGCATTACAAGCTTTATTCGATAACAAGCTATTCTTTTTTAAGTGATTCAATAATGATTTGAAATTTTCTATTTTCTCGTTTTGACGTTTTATTTTTTTATTAAAAACCCTGCATCGAGATTTACATGTTTTAACATGCTCATGAACAATTCTCCAACTGGTTTCATTTGTAAAGTCTTGTTTTCGTAGATCTCCGATATACCGAGGATTGTATATACGTTTAGCATTCTTCATTAGTTCATTTGATTTCCTGATGGAGAAAAACATAGCAATATAAATTTAAAGTACTTTGTACAAGACATAGGTCAGTAGTTTCAAATCACTTTTATTGATAAAAGTGATTTGAGAATACTCGTCATACTGCAAATAATAGCATCAATATTGGTAATCAAACCTTTTCAATCCAGTTTTCTGCTTCATATTATTATTACATTCTGAATCAATAGGCATATTCGGTTCATTGCAATTATCATTCACAATTTCTGAATGAAATTTATGTTCGGTGATTGCATTATTTGTATTTCCATTGTCAATATCATGTATATTACTTAAACTTAATTGCTCAATGTTGTCTTTGCTATAAATTCAAATTTTATTAATTGACATGTGCATTATTTTAAGGATACATTATTTTGATAATTATAACAATTTTAAAATCTTACATTTCAACAGATACAGTCACTTTAACATTTTCAATCTCAGCGGCTTTAACAGAAGAATATGAAAAATCTTGTAAATTAATATTTGTGACATCTGCCAAGGTTGTATGTGAATTATCCCTTGAAAATATTATTATTATTATTATTTTACATTAAAAAGGAGTTAATAATATAATAAAAATAAACTTTACTTTTTAGCTTGTAATTGACGATGTGAATGTAACAAAACTGATGTTTCATCATTAGTTTTTGCTAACAAAAGCGTTGTTTGATTTGAGCTAGTTATTACTTCTGTGTCATTATTCAATATATTTTTGCTGGAATATTACATATTTTAATAATTAAAAAGGCACAATCATAAACAGGAAATATTTATAATTATAATTTTAAATTAAAGTATACCAATTAGTTAACAATAAAGTTGGAACAGCTTCAGGTATTAAAAATCTTTTCACAATATTTCCAACAACTCTATACTGGAAATCTTTTGCTTCAAAATGTCTGCTACAAACTCCACTATACTTATTAACATTTCTGCCGATATTTAAAAACCATTTTACTTGCAAGTCTTTGCTTTTAGGGATACTAAAAACATATCAACTTAAATTTTACAACTTATTAAATAAAACTTAGTATTATACAAAAGTGATAAAAAACTCTCATAACATTCCAAAAATGAAGATAATTTTGAATTCAATGTGATTTAACTTATAACAATGTATAATATTATTTTACAAAATATTTATTAATGCCAAATGTGTAGGAACTTTCATAACCTCGAATCGCAAATGCGTAAGTATACATATTATAGATTTCATATTACTTACGTATGAATAGAAACATCCTCAATAGCTCCATATTCCACCTTACATATGCAACAAAATCTCACCATTTTTAAATGTTTAAAATATGCTAGTACAAGCTAACTGCAAATCTCACTCATAGCTGATAGCTATTCTTCTCTTCTCTTCTCCTTTCTTCCTTATTTCCCCCACCAACGTGCACATTAGACGGAGACACTCTTACTCGCACTATTGCTCTCTCGCTTCAGTGTGGTGGTCAGCTCCTCTCACGGGATGGCGCAGTCTATTATATATGGGTGCTTTCCAATTGTTTAACACATCTTAACACAAACATACACAGGAAGGCACAAAGTGTAGCGATGTGCACGACTCAATTGGAACAAAGTTAATGTGCGACTTTCGAGTGGAGGGTTAGGATTCTTCATAACCATGTCCATCTTGATATTTTTTAATCCATGCTGAGGGTGATAGCATCGATATATAAAATGGATTGACCATTGCGTGTAGACAGGCGTTAGCCCGCGGTGAAGAGAGAGATACTACATGCGAGGCCTATGTCTGTCTCTTTTGCTAGTATCTCATTGGTAATTTTTATAAATAATATATAAATAAAATATATAAATGCATATTATATTAATATATAAATATGAATGAAAATTTAATCAGTAATATATCTAACTTGCAAATATGCAAAAGAGACAATTTTATTTTATTTATTAAATATAATAAAAAAATTAATTGTACAAAAACTCATTAATTTGAATTACTTACTTCAATGATACTTTTAATATTTTTATTGTTCATTTTTGTATTTGTATGGTGTACTTTAATGGTTGTCTTTTAATTAAAAAGGATAAAACGAAAAGAAAATTGCCAACATAATCGCCGTCAGTCTGTAACCGCATATTTCATTTGTCCCTAGAAAACAGAAGGTTACACAAGTTGACTAGTAGCCCTCGAGCTGAGTACGGATGTGTAAAGTTGTGTCGGCAGTTACGGCAATTGGAACGCGACTTGTGTCGCCGTGTGCATAAAAGTGTCTAGGGATATCTCAATTGGAAAGCACCCTATGTCTATGGTGCCTCCTCAAGACTTCATAAATCAGCCCATTTCTGGGCTACTTCGAGCGTCAAATACGTGTTGTATCAGCTCCATTTTTTGTGTGCTTCCGCTGGACATATTAATTTCTGCCGGCTATTCAAGTGGAGGACCAGAAATAGAGCGCATCCAACAACGGACGTTCGCGCGCTTTTGTTCTCGGCTTCGGCCATTACAACACACTTTCCCTCGCTTTCCTATCCCTCCTCCCTTCCCTCCCCGGAGAAAGGAATCTACCGGAATTACATTTCAGCCCAGGATTTTGCATCGTCTCACTCTCTGTAAGTACAATCTTACTCATTTCAAAAGTTGTGCATACCCTTAAATATGGACTTGGAAGATCCCGACATGTCTACCGCGCTAGAGTCACTAATTACTGAGTCAGGCTTTTCGCCGGTGACTCGTATAAAGATTTTAGGCAAGCGGCCCATAGATAAAGAATATCTGCCAGCCTCTTCTAAGATCTCACGCTCCAGCACAGACAGTAGCCTAACCTCCCATCAAGAACCGAACTCTGGATCGGTGATCTCACTCACAGACACCATTCGCAATAACAGATACTCCGACAACAATGCTGGACCGTTCGACGTCCACGTGCAACGTATTTCTAATCCGAAAGCTCAACTCCACCCCATTTTTGTAGGGAGAGCTGTGTGCGAACTTGGCATAAGTGACATTCTTGAGATCAAAAAAGCGGGCTTCTCCAAAGCATCCATTTACTTCAAAACCAAAGAAGCAGCAAATGCTCTAGTCAACGATAGAAAACTATCTGAGAAGGACTTAGAAGCCTTCATCCCTCCCTTTCGCACCTCTAGGAAGGGAATAATTAGAGACGTTCCCCCAGAATTCACTGACCAGCAAATTTTAGAGAGCATCGTCAGTCCCTTTAAGGTCATTGCAGTATCCAGACTAAATCGCAGAGTCACGACACCTTACTTGGACTCTCAGTCTGATCCTCCACCTGCGGTCACCTACTCTCCGTCTCTCTCAGTCTCGATTACCTTTGAAGGGCAAAAAATCCCCAAGCATATATACTTATTTCACGTCAGCTACCCTGTTTCGCCTTATGTTGCAAGAGTCTCAAGATGTAATAAATGTTATAGATTTGGACACATCAAAACCAACTGCAAAAGTCAGCCTCGCTGCTCACACTATGGAGAGAAGGGTCACTCCTTCTCAGAGGAACACTGCCACCAAAGTCACCGTCCACCCACGTGCGTAAATTGTAAAGGCGAACATCGAGCAGACTCATTCATCTGCCCAGAATTCCTTACTCAAAAGGAAATAAGAAAGTACGCAGCTTATAGGAATATTTCCTTACTGGACACAAGAGAGATCTTTAAAGGTAACAGAACCCCTCCCTTCTTCTCCTCGTCCTCGGAAGAGTTCCCAAAATTAAACTCCTCCTGTTTCACTTCTCGTCCCCCGGACTCCAACCCACGCGCTCCTTCATCCCCCCCGCTTGAATACACATCGCCTCACCTCTCTTTCGCACAAGCCGCTAAGACTCTATCTTTCTCTTCAAGTCCCCATTCCTCCCCCCTCTGCATCCCTGTCCCAGACAGAGCTTCTTGCAAATCTTCTCCCTCTTTCCCGACCCCCACACGTCACACACACGCCTCACGCCTTAATAAAAAACCCCGCCTTCCCCCTTCCCCCCACAGGCCTCCTCACCCCTACGTATCATTTCCCGCACCCCCCCCTACTTCTTCAACTGTCTCTGTGAATCACTCTGACAACCCTCATCCTCCATCTACCTCTTCCCCTTCAAGTCTCCCAATCACCCCTCAAAATGCCCTCAATCACATTCTACGGCTCATCATTGATCTGTTGCCCCTACTTACTTCTTCCGATTTTCCTGGACTTGCCCCCACTATTCTTCAGTTTATCCGCAACCTTCCCGCTAACTTGGACAACTCTCCCCCACCTCCACCTATCTAGTATGGTCAACAAGTCTACTCACAACAACTTTACACTTCTCCAATGGAACTGCCATGGCATATCCAACAAAAGGGATTCCCTCGTTCAAATCAGCGACCAATACGACATCCTCGCGCTGTCTGAAACATGGCTCTCCCCAGATAAGGAATTCTTCCTAAATAACTTCCACATACTACGGAAGGACGGCCCCTCCAATAAATCAGGTGGTGTCCTGCTGGCAATCAACAAATCTATCCCTTTTACAAAACTCGATTCCATTTTTTCCCTGGACGGGACCCTCGAAGCTGTCGCAGCCAAAATCTCTTCTCTTCACACCGACATCTTTATCGTTTCCATTTACAGACATCCATCCAGTCCCTCTGCCTTTGCCTTTTCAACTCAATTCCATCCTCTGGACAGATCATCATCACAGGAGACTTCAACGCACATCACACCTCTTGGAGCTGCAAACGCTCTGACTCCATAGGTGTCTCCTTACTTGATACTTCCCATGACTTTTCCCTCTCTTTCATTAATGACGGTTCCCCTACATACATCTCTTATTTCACTCGCTCATCTTCAGTCATTGACCTCACTTTTGTCTCTTCTGGCTTGACCCCTTATTGCACTTGGATCTCCTTCGACGACTCACTAGGTAGCGATCACATTCCTTCTCTAATCACTGTTAACCAACCTGTCCAATCCCGATCCTTTTTCTCTCACAAACTTCAGACCTCCAAGATTAACAGGAAACTCCTCCTCACTACTCTCTCGCTCTCTTTCTCCTCTCTTTCCAACCGCATCGATTCAGCTTCCTCCCCAACGGAAAAGTACGATACCTTCTGCGACTTTCTCAGAGATACTATGATCACCTTACTCTCTCCACACAAACTCCCTACTAACGACTCTCCCTCTCCAAGTCGTGCAAAAGCTAAATCAAACACGAAAACCAAAACTTCTCAACTCACTCGCCCTCCTGCCCCCTGGTGGAACGAGCAATACTCTGAAGCCGTCGGGCTCAGGAAACAAGCACTCAAGGCGTTCCGCAGACATCCTTTTAGCGTCAACTACCTCAACCTAAAGAAGCAAGAAGCACTCACCAAAAAAATCCTCCGGCGTGCTAAACGCACGGGTTGGAGATCCTTTTGTGAGTCTATCACCTCTTCCACCAGTATTTCCGCCTTGTGGCGCATTGCAAAAAGATTCAAAAACAGATTTCTCAGCTCACCTTCATCTCTTCCTCCTCTCAGCAGCGACATACCGCCCGCTATCCTGGACTTAATCAATTCCATTTCCCCCCCTCATGTCTTCACAAACTCCCCTCATCCTGCTTCCTACCATCTCGCCCTCACTCTTGTCACATTTTCGACAGCCCCTTTCAACCTGAAGAGCTCCAACACGTAATTCTCTCCCTTAAAAACAAGAAGTCCTCCCCTGGATTGGATCAAATAGACTATCTCACTCTCTCCAACCTCCCCACCGCGTATCTTTCTCTTTTGCTGTCTAATGACCTTTTCTTTTCCGGAGAGTTCCCTGAGTCGTGGAGCCATTCGCTGGTCTACCTCATTCCCAAAACATCCTCAGGCAAATACCGCCCTATCTCACTCACCTCTTGCTGCCTCAAAATCCTCGAAAAGCTTATTCTCCTCAGAATAGACTGGTGGATGGAAAGATATGAAAAACTCCCCCCCACACAATTCGGCTTTCGCAAGTTCCGGTCATGCCAGGACAATCTGTCCATCCTCACCACGGAAATCCACACAAGTTTTACTCGAGGCACCTCCACCGCATGCCTCTTCCTAGATCTCTCTAATGCTTTTGACGACGTCATTCCCTCCATCCTCATCTCTGACCTCGTCGATTTAGGATTACCCCCCATCCTGTGCCAGTTCATCTACTCATTCACTCATACACGCAAGCTTCAATTCGTAATCAACGGAGACATCTCCGATGCACGTTACTCTTACAAAGGCTTGTCCCTCAAGGCTCCATTCTTAGCCCCCTCCTTTTCAACATTTACGTATCGAAACTAAATAAATACATAGGAGAGGACTGTGAAATAGTTCAGTTCGCTGACGACATCGCCATTTTTGTCAGCTCCCGTCACATCGATAAAGCGCTCGCAGAGTTAGAACTCTCGGCTAACAAAGCCGCCGAATACCTTACATCTAAAGGCCTGTCTGTTTCTCCTTCGAAAACCTCTCTAATGATTTTCACCAAGAAGCACATAGACCCTTGCGCTTTTTCTATTAACCTCGCAAACTCCACTGTTCATTCAACCGACTCTTGCAAATTCCTCGGAATCTTTCTTGACTACCGCCTTAATGGTAACAGCTACATTCGTTCTCTGTCCACCCGCTGCTCAAAGCTTCTTAACATACTCAATACGTTAAGGGGCACCTGGTGGGGAGGAGCGCCCTCTTCTCTCTTGAATATCTACAGAGCCCTAATAAGAGGCTCTATGGAGTATGGCTGCCTCACCTTCCCCTTCAATAACCACTCTTCCATGCGCCACCTTGAGAGTATCCAACTACAAGCGCTCCTGCTTAGGTCTACGCAAGACTACTCCTACGAATGTTGTTCTCGCGGAAGCCGGGGAAGGCCCCCTGAGATTCAGATTTGAACTCCTTACCTCTAAATACATTCTATAAATCTTTGCTCTGGACTCCCACCCACTCATAGACAAACTTTTCGCACTTCTCTGGTACTCACGCAGATCTCGAAAGACCAATCCATCCGAAAAATTTCTCCTGTTCAAAACCTTTAGCTCTCTCCTCCGTCTAAAATATCACATCATGAAATTCGACTATCCGGCTGTATACTCCATAGACTACAAAGCTCTCATCTTCATCTCTTCAATTGTCATTACTCCCTCTATCGAAGCAGAGAAAATTAAGAACGCTCTTATTCCTCAAATCGATTTCATGGAAATTTATGACTCTCTTATTGCCTCCTGCACATGCTTCTACACAGACGCTTCCAAAAATACCTCCAATGATTATGTCGGATTCGCCATATACTCCCCCTCCCCTCACTTGCAGCTGTTATTTAAAACTCAACCCTACGCATCTATCTTTTCCGCAGAAGCCCTTGCCATCCTTTACACCCTTGACTATATTCTCTCCAAACTAGTCACCAAATCTGTTATCTTTACTGATTCTAAAAGCGTCACTGAAGCACTTCTCTCGGTCAACTTGGCCCACTCGTACAACCACATCATCTTCGCCATCAAACAGAAGCTCTACGACATCAAGCAGGCTGGCCTCGAAAACACCATCGTCTGGATCCCGGCACACACGGGCATACTGGGTAATGAAACCGCAGATCACTTAGCAAAAACAGCTATTTCGGCAGGAAAACTAACTAAGAAACAACTCCCTCACTCCGATTTCTTCTCGATTCCTCGCAGAAAATACATAGAAAGTTCCTCCCGTTTGCTTAAAATCCAAGGTAGATACAAAGGGATAAGGTACTTTACCTCCTTCAACGAGATCACGCCAAAACCCTGGTTTCACAAATTTGAGTCAAACAGAGAAGGCATTGTAACATGCTGCAGAATCAGAAGTGGCCACTACGCCCTCAATTACAGTCTCAAACGCTGTAATCTGGTTGCAGATTCGTCCTGCCAATGCGGTTTCCACACTCAGGACGCAGACCATATCTTCTGGAACTGCCCCTTATTCGACGCACAGAGGTCAACGCTTTTAAAACACCTTTCAAGGTTCAAGAAGTTAACAAGACCATATCGGATTCAAGAAATTCTAGCTAAACCCTTCTCCGGGGTTATCCATGTCTTACTTTCCTTTCTAAAATCCTGCAACCTCCAACTTTGAACACAACAATTCCCTAGCACACTATCTCTTAATCCACTAAATCACCTACTCTCTCTAACCCGTTGTTGGCCTGAATACGCCGATCTCTGCTAGATCGGAGGTGGCCATTCAAATCCAAAGAAGAAGAAGAAGATGGAAAACAGTGGCGGATGGATTCTGATAGAGTCTTCAGTAAAGATAGGGACCCAGTCAGCAAAGTCTGTTCAAACAGATTTTGTCAATTTCTGCTACAAATTTTTGTCGACAGTAAGATTGTAGATTGTATAAAAAATTTGTTATATCAAATAATAATAACAGAATGTCAGCAGAAATGTTATAAAACCTGCTGACATAATTTTATAGCAAAAACTAAACAGGATTTGTTTAAAATTATCATAGCAAATTGATGGCGGATAGAAATCGAGCAAGATCTGCGCAACATAGTTTGATATCAAATTGATTGTAGAAATCGAGCAAAATGTGAATAATGTAATTTGATGTCAGATTGTTGGCAAAAATCTAACAGAAATTGTATAAAATTATTATAGAAGATTGGCGACAGAAACAGAGCAGGACCTCCGCAAAACAGTTTGATGTCAGATTGATTGCAGAAATTGAGCAGGATCTGTGCACACAATCTCTGATAGCAGATTGACGGCAGAAACGAAACAAGGTTTGCATGATTCGATAGTTCCTTCACTTACCGCTACGTGAGCTACGTGTACTTTCTCGTAATTGAATTTCTGTCAGAAATATATATAAAGTCGTGAATATGAATAAAAAACTAAAAATATAGTAATTATCATTTTAATTTCTATCATTTTAATTTCTGATATAAGCAGATGAGATTCAGAATATTAAACTGATTGGAATCAATATGATAAATGGAAAATTATTCATGTACTGCCTATTTGAGGCATAAAGCAAGAATTTAATTCTAAATAAATTACATCTCAAGTTTTACAAATTACCTTTACTTTTATCATTTACTTTATTATTAATTTAATTAAATTGAATTAGTCCTTCGCTATATGAGATATAATTACGATATAACATATATTACATTAATATATATTACGATATAACATATGAATATATATAATTTTAGAAGAAAATCGTAATTAACTTGCCGATAATATTGTTATTTAGCACCTGTAATAAGTCTTTTGTTGCATTTATATAACATTAATAAAAGTAAGCGCAAATCTTGCGCAGTTTCTATTATCAATTTCTACTATTAGGTTGCATACGCAGATTCTGCTCGGTTTCTGCTGACAATCTAACATCAAGTTACACGTACAGATTCCGCTCGATTTCTGCTGTCAATCTGTTGTCGGTTTATGCTGACAGATTCTGCTAGTAGAACCCAAGCTTAATGCGGACGCAGTTGATGTCAATCTGCCGCAATATTCTGTTTGAATCTGCTCGCATGCTGCTAGCAGACTGCTAACATTTTGCTTACTGGAGATGTATGTAGGAGGAGTAAAATACGAAATTGTTCATTAAATTAATTATATTTTACATTAATATTGCACGTTGTATCAGAAATGAAAAAAATACGAAGGAGCAGGATCGAATCATGAATCCGCAGCATAGTAGGGCTTAACCCCGTCTAGCAATGCCGTCCTCTCGCTGATAGGTGTAAATTCACCGGTATACAATCGGTATACATCATATTTTTTCAGTTAATCTATCTAAAAAATAACTAAGCATTGCTCTCTCTCTTTCTTCAAGTACTCTTTGGTCGAGTATTATATTTTGTTAAAATATTTTTAAAATCGGTGTTTCAAAGTTCACGCCCTCCCCTCGTGAGATAAAAGAAGATATTATTTTACTACAAAACTACTACAAAGAAGGATCCTCTGATAACTGTTCTGACGGACCGAAGCCTTTAGAGAACTCTTTTTGACGGCATTCCATACCCTGTGCCCCTGAAGGCACAATAATATGAAGTTTTAAAATACACTTGGTAACAAAGGAATGCCTTAATACATGAATTTATGCAACAGGAATACTTTAACACATTGCATATATGAAAAAATGCATGTCTCGACACGTACATGAACGTGTTAATATGTGTTTATTCCTGTTATCAGATAAATGTAAGCCATAGAGTACGTTTACACGGCAACGTTAATCTGGTTTAGTAACAATCGTAGTTATAACTTCCTAAAAGTGATGTTCGTTTACACGCAAGGAGCAATACAAGCAGTTACATAGCAATTACATACTTACACATTACATACTTTAACTTATTAACAGTTTTTGTATACTAGTACTCGTTACTTGATTATTCAGGTTGACAATACGATTGTTATAATTTTCATAGCGTTTACATGTCTTCTTAAAGCCGGATTTGTAAGTCTACTCCTTTTAGCAGGAATAACGTTACTACAACTGGTGTAATAATATCGGCGTAAAGCACGGTTTACACGGCATATAACACCAGTAGTTACAACAGCGGTTGTTACTAAACCTGATTAACGTTGCCGTGTAAACATACTCATAGGCCAGTATTCATAGTCCGATCTTATATTTGAGATTGTCTTAAGTTCGAGCTTGAAATGCTACGCAGCTATTTGATTGGTTGAATGAAATCTTAAGTTAACCTCGGACCAGACTTAAGACCATCTTAAATATAAAATCGGACTATGAATACCGGCCATAGAGATTATTAAACTTCTAATAAGTAACTAATAGATGTTTTATAAATATCTTAGATGTCCTATAAACGACCAATAGATGTTTAAATAAATGTCTTATATTAGATTTGATTTGAAAAAACACAAAGACGTCTAATTAATTAAATTTTAAACATTTATATCAACCGATCTCTTTAATGAAAAAGTAGTGGAAAGTAATTGATTCGATGTTTTTTTAATTGATGATTTCTCACTGGGTTACAATCAACATCTTTCTTTTTTTGTGTCTCGTCTTTCGTGAATCTTGATTTCGACTATCTGTGCATCACTTTGCGAAAAAAGCAGCCAATTACATCATCAATATAATTTCACGTAGTGGTTACATTGTGATTTGCAAATTTTGTTGGGGTGTCAAGTTGAATGACCATGACAAGATATGTTACTACTGCTCCAGTAATCTATATAAGAAAATTTCATCAGGTAAATTTTACATCATTAATATAAAAAATTAAATGAAAACAGATCTGGTAAATAATCAATTAAAAAAGTCAATCCTAAATCATGATCTTGGCATATAATCTCATAATTCGCATTTCGAAATAGCAATATAATATTTTTTCTACATGCTAAACCGTTGAATTTTTTGATAAATTGGAGAGAGACTCTCATACTCTATATATTATCCTATAAAAAATCAGGACCAGAATTTAAAAAAGACATACATATATATATATATATATATATATATATATATATATTTCTGGATGCTCTTTCTTTTTCTATATCCCATATAGCACGGCAAAATTGCAACAACAATAAAATCCGCCAAAAATATTATACAAAAATATTATAATATAATATTGCAGTAACATAGCAATATAATGCATATGCAATAATACATTATATAAAAAAAAAATATATATACACGGTGGCCATTTTAATCGATGCACTCGAATATCTCGAAAACAGCACTCTTCAGAAAGAAATGTTTCAAACAAAATTGTAGGGTGTGAAGGGGGACATAAGATGGTAGCATTGGTTTGACCTTGAAAAGTCATTTGAAGGTCACATAAAAGTCACCTTCAATTTCTTAAATTGAACCACTATTTTTCATTACATATTCTTGTAGCTTATCTCGAGAGCTTTCCAAAACACTACAGACAATGTTTTTTCATTAAATACTTTTTGAGTTATAAGGCTCAAAGTTTGCAATACTTCGATATAAAATGCAAAATATCTCGTAAAATATTTAGTTTTCGGTAGTCTTACCTATACTTTATGCACAGGATAATGAGACAAAACTATTGTGCAAAGAAAACGTATGATTGTTTATGATAAAAAATGTGTAATTTGCAATGCACTTTTTGTTATAAACAATCATGCGTTTTCTTTGCACCAATAGTTTTGTCTCATTATCCTGTGCATAAAAGTATTAGGGTAAGACTACCGAAAACTAAATATTTTACGAGATATTTTGCATTTTATATCGAAGTACTGCAAACTTTGAAGCCTTATAACTCAAGAAGTACTTAATGAAAAAACATTTGTCTGTAGTGTTTTGGAAAGCTCTCGAAATAAGCTACAAGAATATGTAATGAAAAATAGTGGGTTCAATTTAAGAAATTGAAGGTGATTTTTATGTGACCTTCAAATGACTTTCCAAGGTCAAACCAATGCTACCATCTTATGTCCCCCTTCACACCCTACAATTTTTGTTTGAAACATTTCTTTCTGAAGAGTGCTGTTTTCGAGATATTCGAGTGCATCGATTAAAATGGCCCACCGTATATATATATATATATTATTTGATATAATCCCCAAAAACTTACCTTTTTAAAAAAAGGTAAAAAAAGGGCGCCAAGTTCATGCACTAATTGTATCCAACTGTCATATTGTCTACAAAAATAGTGATATAAAAAAATTGCGCCAACTAAGAATAAAAATTTGTACAAGATAAATAGTAAAAAAAATTTTAATTAAAAAAACTTGGCGCTGCCAATTTTATTAATAAATTGTTCAGCTTAAAAGTCTAAATTTACAAATCCAGAAGATCTTAAGAGAATTAATAATAAATGTCCAGCAATTATATTTGCTGTTAAACATATATTTAATTGGAATATATGCCAATTTTATTGGCAGCGCCAAGTTTTTTTTAATTAAAATTTTTTTTACTATTTATCTTGTACAAATTTTTATTCTTAGTTGGCGCAATTTTTTTATATCACTATTTTTGTAGACAATATGACAGTTGGATACAATTAGTGCATGAACTTGGCGCCCTTTTTTTACCTTTTTTTAAAAAGGTAAGTTTTTGGGGATTATATCACTTCTTTTTTTAGTCTAATTTGCTAAGAGACATTATATTAAAAAAAGTATGTATATATATATATATATATATATATATATATATATATATGTATACTCTTTTAATATAAGCAAATTATATAAAAATATATATAAAATAAGTATATATAATATACATTTTATATATATATATATAATTAATATATTATATATATTTATATTTAGCTTGTAAAATAGATATATATATTTATTTACCTTATTCCAATTATCATACCGTACTGGCTCTTGCCAATTTTTAATTAATAATTTAATTATTTATTATTTATAACTTGCACTTTATCACTACTCAAAATGCGGTTAATGATACATGTCACTAATGACACATATGACACATGTCATTAATATCGAAAAGCGTCGCTAGCGCAATCTTCTGTCGAGAGTAGGAAAAGGACGTTTTCTCTTTCTATGTGTTGTGTACATGTGCGTGGACGACGACCATGATGATGATAATGATAAAGACGTTTCTTAATTGAAAATTTTCATATTTCGACTTTGCATTATGATATCTCCATTAATAGATCACGCAGCGCAAAAAGAAAGATACTTTCTTTATACAATTCAAACTCGCTCTATCGATTAAGACTAGTAAGAATTCGATCCGTTCAGCCGTTATTGAAATCCGATAATCTAAGTTACTCTCAACTGTCCGACTCGCGTATAGATACACGGTGTGCCGCGCAATGCTTCGCATGAACTTGGCGCGAGACACTACCGTGTCTCTTGATATATATATGTATATACAGGGTGTCCCATTTTAATCCATCCAATCGAATATCTCGAAAACCAAGCTTGAAAGAGAAAAATGTTTCAGACAAAAGTTGTATGGTTTCTAGGGGGACATAAGATGGTACCATTGGTTTGACCTTGAAGAGTTATTTGAAGGTCACATGAAGGTCACCTTCAATTTCTTAAATAGAATCTACATTTTCTCATTACATATTCTTGTAGCTTATCTCGAGAGCTTTCCAAAACACTATAATAAAATATTTTTTTATTGAATACTTTTCGAGTTATGAGGCTTGAAATCATTTCTTAATTTAACATAAACCGTAATATATCTAGTAAAATATTCATTTTTCGATTATCTTGCTTTAATACTTTTATGTACAAAATAATGAGAGGAATCAATTGGTGTAAAGAAAACACATAGTTATTTTTAAGAAAAAATATGTAATTTGCAATTAACAATTCCATATTTTTTCTTAAAAACAACTGTATGTTTTCTTTACACCAATTGATTCCTCTCATTATTTTGTACATAAAAGTATGAAGGTAAGATAATCGAAAAATGAATATTTTACTAGATATATTACGGTTTATGTTAAATTAAGAAATGATTTCAAGCCTCATAACTCGAAAAGTACTCAATAAAAAAATATTTTATTATAGTGTTTTGGAAAGCTCTCGAGATAAGCTATAAGAATATGTAATGAGAAAATGTAGATTCCATTTAAGAAATTGAAGGTGACCTTCATGTGACCTTCAAATAACTCTTCAAGGTCAAACCAATGGTACCATCTTATGTCCCCCTAGAAACCATACAACTTTTGTCTAAAACATTTTTCTCTTTCAAGCTTGGTTTTCGAGATATTCGATTAGATGGATTAAAATGGGACACCCTGTATATACACACATACAGGGTATTTATCTATTATCCCATTTTAAAGGACTCACTCACAAATATCTCAGAGACACTGCGTTAAATCGAAAAATGTTTCAAACAAAAGTTGTGTGGCTTCAAGGGGGCCATAAGATGGTAACAATGATTTGACCTTGGAAAATTATTTGAAGGTCAACTTTAAAATCTTAAATGGAAATCCCTATTTTTTATTTCATATTCTTGTAGTTGACATCGAGAGCTTTCCAAAACACTATAATTAAATGTTTTTCCATTAAGTACTTTTCGAGTTATAAAGCTTGAAATAATATCTTAATTTTACATAAAATATCTAGTAAAATATTCATTTTTCGATTATCTTACCTTAATACTTTTATGTACTAAATAATGAGAGGAATCAATTGGTGTAAAGAAAAAACATAGTTGCTTCGAAGAAAAAATATGTAAATGTTAATTGCAAATTACATATTTCTTAATATCAATTAGATATTTTATGGTAAATTAAGATATTATTTCAAGCCTTATAACTCGAAAAGTACTTAATGGAAAAACATTTAATTATAGTGTTTTGGAAAGCTCTCGATGTCAGCTACAAGAATACCAAATAAAAAATGGGGGTTTCCATTTAAGATTTTAAAGTTGACCTTCACATGACCTTCAAATGATTTTCCAAGGTCAAATCATTGTCACCATCTTATGGCCCTGACAAACTAAAACTTTTTGAAGATTAGTCAGGATAATGGTCTAGACAACAAATATGTCAAGATTAAAGTTATTAGTGAGAAATTAAAGTAAATATCTTAGAATCTCACTTTACACAATTTTAAATTTATTAATAAACAACAAGCGACTAAACAAAACAAAGCGACAACCTAAAAATTTTCCCTATGCTACTCAAGATCATGATTTATAATAGCATATATCAAGGTCAAAATTATTGAAATGGATTTTCCAATCATTTATTTATCATAAATTACTTACGGAACATATAAGGGAAATATTGATTTCATACAATCCAAAAGCAGTAAATGTCAAATCTTCGTGGATTAATTGAAGTGAAAAATGTATCACCTGAATAATAGAATTTATATGTAATAAAGGAATATTAATTTTTTTTATTATATTATATTATTTTATATATAATAAAGAAATATTTATTAAAATGTATCCATATATATAAATGTGATATTACTTCAGATTGCATTGACTTGTATTCCAAGAAAACATCATGCAAAATTATTCCCATTTGATTGAACTGCGTAAATAAATATACAATAGGATTAGTTATACATATATATATACAGGGTGTCCCATTTTAAGTGTCCACCCCAAATATCTCTGTCATTTTTGATTTTAAAGAAAAATGGTTCAGACATGTTTTATATGGTTTCGAGGAGGCCATAAAATGGTACCATTGATTTGACCTTGAAGGTCACATGAAGGTTACCTCAATTTTTTTAAATGGCACCTCTTATTTTTTATTACATATTCTTGTAGCTAACCTCGAAAGCTTTCCAAAACACTATAATCAAATCTTTTTTCGTGAAGTACTTTTCGAGTTATAAAGTCCCAAAATTACAAAAAGTTTGTAAATTTGGAGCTTTATAACTCGAAAAGTACTTCACGAAAAAACATTTAATTAGAGTGTTTTGGAAAGCTCTCGATATCAGCTACAAGAATATGTAATAAAAAATAAGGAGTGCCATTTTAAAAAATTGAGGTAACCTTTACGTGACCTTCAAATGACTCTTCAAGGTCAAATCAATAGTACCATCTTATGGCCCCCTTGAAACCATACAAAACATGTCTGAACCACATTTTTCTCTAAAATAAAAAATGAGAGAGATATTTGGAGTAGACACTTAAAATGGGACACCCTATATATATATATATATATATATATATATATATATATATATATACAGTTTCAAAAAGTAACGAAAACTTTTAATTTTCTCAGAAAGTATTTATTTAATTTTCAATTTTTATCTCATCCCCTTCAACAAAGTAGTCCCTTTGTGATATTATACACTTCTGCCAACTGTTTTCAGTTTGAGAAACACTGGTGGAACGCCTCATTAGGTATCGTCTTGAGTTCGATTTGCGATTTCGCCTTTATCTCATCTACTGTTGAAAAACGTTGTCCTTTGAATGTCCTTTCGAGTTTAGGAAAAGTCACAGGGGATCATGTCTGGAGAATAGAGTGGTTGCGGCATCACAACAGTGTTGTGTTTCGCTAAGAACTGTTGGATAAGCAAAGCGGTATGCGCCGATGCGTTGTCGTGGTGCAAAGTCCACGAATTGCCTCTCCAAAGTTCGGGTCGTTTTCTCCGGATTGCGCAAATTGTGCAAAACTTGTAGGTAGTACTCCTTGTTGACTGTATGACCAAGCGGCAAAAATTCGTGATGAACTATTCCATTGTAGTCCATGAAGAAAATGATTAGAAGGACCTTCATATTTGACCGGACTTAACGTGCTTTTTTCGGTCTTGGTTCTTCAGAAAACTTCCATTGACACGATTGAGCCTTCGTTTGGACGTCGTAGCCATATATCCACGTTTCGTCACCAGTTATAACGCGTTTGAGCAAGTCTGAGTCAACAGCGACATCAGCAAGCATTTGTTCAGCGATGGTTACGCGATGCTGTTGAAAATTTAGCAGTTACGCGATATTTGTTGAAAATTTAGCAGTTTCGGAACAAATTTGCTGTCACTCGTTTCATGTTCAAAACATCAGCAAAAATCGCTTCGCATGTGCCGTATGAAATTCCTATTTCTTCAGCAACCTCTCTAATGGTGATTCTTCTATTAGCAAGCTCTTTAATTAACAATCTCTTTAATTTTTTCCACGTTTTCATCACTGGTGGACGTGCTAGGACACCCAGATCTCGTGTTATCTTCGATGTCTTCTCGGCCTTTCTGAAAGCGTTTATACCATTCATAAACTTGTGGTATAGCATCATCGCTAAAGGCCTTCTTTAACATTTTGAACGCTTCGCTGTACTTAATTGCGTTTTTAACACAAAATTTCAAACAAATTCTCTGATCTGACATTTCATCACACAAAAAATCCCCGAACACTGAAGTACGTCTTGCTCATTCGCTTGCCAAACACAAACTAAGCGTCGCAGCTGCCTGAAAATTAATACGTACGTCGCTGGCAGTGCTACTAATACAAAAAAGAATCGACTCCATAAACAAGATACAGCACGCGCAATTTAAAAATTCTCGTTACTTTTTTATCAAACCTGGTATATACTATATACACAATTATATCATATTATATATATTTCTACATTAATTCAATACTCAACTTCATTTTTAGATCGCTGACAAACAAAACTGATGTATAACAATCGAAAACCATAGCAAAATATGAAGATCATATTAAAAATTAAGATCTCGTTATTTTCACTGTCTGTTTTCATATTATGATACATATCATGCAGAAGAATAATGATAGCATTAAAGCATATAATAGAAATGATTAAAAGCTGCAGACCAAAATTTGTATTAATCTGGAAGTAAAAATATATTTATACACACATGAAAATTATTGAAAATAACTTTAATTAATTATATAGTTCTTTATGATATATTATTTAATATAAATATTAACTATGTCTTTAAAAAGTTAGTTTAAAAATTGTCTTTATTAAGTTATGATATAATCAATAAATTGCAGATTATATATATATATATATATATATATATATATATATATACCCAGCAAACACCAAGTAACAGTTATATAACTGTTAGTTGTAATTTCCCACTCAACAATATAACAGTTACATAACAGATATGTTATATGGGTATATATTATATATATATTATATATATATATATATAATATATATATATATATATTATATATATATATAATATATATAATATATATAAAATATATATATATATAATTATATATATAATATAAATACCTTTGTCGGAGGGCTGTCATTATGAGGAGTCGAGGTGTTAAAATGTTTTGGAAGCAAGGAAGAGTTGCTGAAAGGGTGCTGAAAGGAAGAATATGGAATGAAGTAAACTGAATAAATGGATTAAGCATAAAAAAAAGGACATGGGAAATGAAAAACAGCATGGAATAGAGAATTTCAGGAAATACCATTAAATGAAATTGTCGAGTGAGAAAGGTTAGAAAGAATCGGAGTTGAGAGGAAGAGAAGAAAGGCGATAATACGGAAAAGAAGAAAGGCGAAAATGTGGGAAGGAAAATGAGAACATGAAAAAAACAGAAGAGATACGGTCGGTGAGATAGAGATAAATATGGAAAGGTACATAGCAGTTGCCCCAAAAACATGGCTTGATAGAGACAAGATAGAGAGATAGAAGGAAGGAATAAAGGCGGCAATACACACAGGAGAAGCAAGTAATGAGAAAAGGATTGCACGCGATAAGCAGAATAGAATTTGAAAGATAAACGAGAAATTGTTTATGTGAAGAGATATAAGAGATGTGAGATATGAGAGACGGATATAGGTGTGAGAAGGATCAAGGAGGGAAGTCATGTAAGAGAGTTATTCACGGAAGAAAAATGCGGAGTGAAGAAGTTGAAAAGGTATTATGTATAATAGAGATTAGGGAAAGAAGAAGAATAAATAGCGGTCAGAAAGGAAGAAAGGATGGAAGGCAGGAGAATGGAGCTATTGGAAGAGAGGGCGAAAGAAAGAAAGAAAATAAATGGGATATAAGATCAAGACTCGACGATGGAAAAGAGGAAATATAGGTGGTGGATGTTAGAGAGGAAGAGAGCAAAAAGGAAGAAGGAAAAGTAAATCGTAGTAAGCAACAGATGGGAGCAGGAAAAGAGTGGATATGAAATGAAAAAAAGAATATATAGAGAATAAATAAAGCTTAGATAATTGAAAAGATATATAGAGAATAAATAAAACTTAGATAATTGAAAACATAGGAGTAAGGAAAGGAAGATCAAACAAAAACAAAAGAGATGGGAGAAGAGCGAGGGGATTTTAGAAGGATGGAATTTTTGGAGGGAACAAATCTTATTTGATCAGTGAGCGACCTCTACAAGCCAGGATAGAATATCTGGAGGCTTGCCATGACTCTATTTAGGGTCCATCCGCCACTATTATTGGCACAATGGAGATATTGTTATTCACTAGAAGGATCTTGAGGGATATGGTCACTCTATGGCATTGTGCTCGTTGGTGGCGTTTCTTACAGACGGCCAGTCGGAAGCCAGCAGTGCACACGAATACCTTTACCGACACTTATTTGGTTCAGCGAGCGATCTATCAAGGATCCTTCGTGGCAATCAGCATTGCATCCATCGAGCAAGATACCAACATCGCTTTGGAGCCGCATATCACTGTATTAAAAAGTAACATTAAGTGTGAGATCTAGATAGCTTAGTATTTTAGAGCAGTTGCCCGAAAAACGAAAAACTCGGACTCGATTTTCGATCCAACCACTTGCACTTCACATTTTTTTCTAATCCATGAATATTGTTTTCTAATATCTAATTCGTTGGGTTGAAAAGTGTGTGAATGCTCTCTCCACAGGATATGTGTTGATGCCATTGCCACGGATGGATTCTGTCGTTCGTTGATTAAATGGGCGTATAGACATGTCTGATCTCCTCCCACATACATCCCTATTTTTATAGAGAGTAGTTTTACCCATACCAGCTGACCAAATAAGTGCCGGTGAAGGTATACTGCATGCTGGCTTCCGATTAGCCTTCCATGAGAAACGGTATCGACGAGCACAACACCATAAAGTGATCACATTTCTCAAGATCTTTCTAATGAATAATAATATCCCCATTGTGCTAATAACAGTGGCAGATGAACCCTAAATAGGGCCGTGATAGGGCCTCCAATCGTATTTAGAGTTAGTCTTTTTGATTGCAGTATTGAATATGGAAAGTAAGGAAGAAGAAGAGAGAAATGGAGGAAGGAAAAGAGAGTAGACACTGTCTACTAGACAGGATATGAGGAGAAAATCACTTTCCCTCCCAGTAACAAGATGGAACGAGGGAGGGGAAGGATGAAGACTGAGAAACGGAAATAGGAAAGAGATAAGCGAAAGGGAGGAAAGAATATCAGTATGTAAAGGTCGCAAATGGCTAGGTCCGGATATGGGGTTTTATTGTATGATTTTATATTGTATTGTTTTGTATAATATTGGTATAATACAGGTATACCATACAATTGTATAATACAGATTCTGGTACGCTTCTTAAAAGCACCTTTCTAACTTCTAAGAGATAAAATAAATATTATCTATCTATATAAATACCTTTGTCGCCAAAATATATAATCCATGATGAATATGCTGAATCAAACGGATTTTGGTCACTACAGTGCAACTGTATTCATTACACATGTTCAAATTCGCTATAAAGTCGACATAAATAATCGATAAATTCTCTTTTGAACGTTGTATCGCAATCTTGTTTAATTCGCGAAACCTTAAATACATATCGTTGATGTAATGGGTAAATAATCCATCCATAAATAGCAGACAGACTATCGAATACCACGATTGCAAGAAATAGCATATCAATTGATACGAATTAGTCGCGATTATATCGTAAGCATATTTCATCATAACAAGTAGTGCCACTATCATTATTGCAGCATCCTGCAAATGTGCGAGAAAAATATCCTTTTTCGAAAATTTTACGCCATACAACCTGAAATATAACAAATGAATCCCTAGCGAAAATGAATATTCGGAGCATAAGTCGAATGTAAGGAAAGAGTAATAGAAGCGTAAACGAAGCTCCTAAGAAGCGTAAATTGAAACGCCAAAGCGTAAATAAAGCGTTAAACGCTTCGGACCCCCCTCCCGCACCATCCTGCCAGTAGACAGGGTAGACTTCGCTTTACAACTTAAGCTCTTTGCACAATGCTAGGCAACAGGCAATAGAAATAAAGAATAAAAACTATTCATCAATAAATACGCGGAACAGAAAATATTCGATAATAAGAGCAGAGAATAGATATTATTTCTATTCTTATTGCCTGTTGCCTAGCATTGTGCAAGGGGCTTTACAGCATGTATCGATTGTGGCAAAGCGAGGTCCACTCTGCCTACCGGCGGAGTGAGGGATCGAAGGCCCCCTTGCACTCCCCGCGCGCGCGCGCGTGTGTGTGTCCAAACTATATAAAACAGAACAATTATTTTTATCCTTTTTCAGCTTATATCTCAGAAAGTATTTGAGTCCCCTTATATATATCGACCCTTATATATATATATATATATATATATATATATAAGGGTCGGATATATATATATATATGAAATTACTCGAGAAGACCTGCCCTATTATAACATATTTAAAAATAAACCAAATCGGAGGAGGGGCCCTTTTATGCATAATTATCCATTGTGCATTTAATACATGTTTTTACTATGTTTTTACTACAGAATTAAATTGTTAATTATTAATTTGTAATAACTTCTTAATAAACAATAACCGCCAATTAAAACTTTTTGGAGGTTATGACCTCAGGATCATGACCTTGATCACATATGTCAAGGTCAAAGTCATCGGTGAGATTGCCGTTCTTCTAGATAATTACCCAAATTTTTTATTTTAAATTTACAAAACCGTAAAAAATTTAAAGAGAAATAAATTTTAAAGCTTAACATGTGACTTCACATGTAAATAAAAAAATTTTAATTTCCATTAAATTTATAAATATAGCTAAATATACATTCTTTTTATGCGCTCTGGTCCGATGTTACGTCAAACTTAAACTAACTTAAAAGCTGGCCAATCACATCCATTCCTCAGAAGAATGGAATAACTGTGATTGACCAATGATGTAATTAATCGCTCTCAGAGGTGTCTGTGAAACCGCCACGACAATCTACGAATTTAAATTTAAAAAAACAAAAAAAATAAAAAAATACTAAGAGTTCTGATAGCACTTTTCATTCTAGGTTCTATAGTTCTTAAAAATAATTAAATAATTAAATAATTATTTATAAAATGGTAAACGGTCGGAACTCTGTGCAAAAATGTTTTTAAAGGATAGAACTCTTGTAGAACTGTCGTTAAAACTAGAGAAAATCATCAGCACGACATATTTTTACTAACAAGTAAACCTACGGAAGTGTCACTCATCGATTTTAATGAAACTTTGCACATTTGTAGAACTATGAAAAATATTTGATACGTATTTTTTTTATCAGTCAAGATTCGCTCTTGAAACTACCCTTTAAATGTAGAGGGTGGATTTTATGCACCAGGTAGAATAAGTTAAATGTTTCAAAAAATTAAATACTTATAGTGGATTTTTGAGGTCGCTAAAACTGAATCTGATGTTAAAATTATGGAAATCAAAATGGCCGATCCAATATGGCCTCCTACATACAAAGTGTTCTGTTTGGCCCTGTAGGGCATGGAAATATTGTAAAAAAATATTAAATTGAATTTTTTTTTTTTTTTTGGTGTTTCTCAAAGTTTTCGACATCGCTGATCACAATTCTGAGATCAGATTTTCGAAATTTTACGCAAAAACAATGTTGCCAACGTAAGCTGTCTTAAATGAATAACAACAGTTACATACATTTGAAGAGTAGTTTCAGAGCGAACCTTGATCGATAAAAAAAAATACGTATCAAATATTTTTCATAGTTCTACAAATGTGCAAAGTTTCATTAAAATCGGTGAGTGACACTTCCGTAGATTTACTTGTAAGTGTTGTGCTGATCAAGAACATTAAAAATTTATAAAAAATTATTAATTTTTGGAATATCGATCTGAAATTGCATATATAGGCTGAACTATAGCAGAACTATCGAAAACTCTTTCTAAAAATAATAATATTCAACGCGATATTTTAGAGGGAAAAGTGTCGTGCTAGATTCGCGAACTTAGCACATTTTTTCGATTTTTTAATATAAGGAATGCGGAACTCTTTTTAATTTTTATCAGGAACTGTAGAACTATGAAAAGTGCTATCAGAACTCTTAGTATTTTTTTGAAATTCGTAGATTGTCGTGCCAGCTTCACAGACACCTTTCAGAGCAATAAATTTTATCCTAAGTATTACCGAATTTTATATGAATGTCGGTCGATGACTAAAAATTGAATATGACAGAAGTACGATGTCATAAGTATTTTCAAAATATGAAAAGTAACGGTAAAAGTAACTCTTAAAATCGTTATCGTTACTAAAAAAAATGTAACATTATCGTTACAGTTACAGAAAAAAAAATATAACGCCGTTACCAATCCGTTACCAAAAAAAAGTAACTATAACGGTAACGGCGTTACAAGTAACGCGTTACTTCCCAATCCTGATTGTTACATATAATACAATTAAAGAATAATGAAATTAAATCAATCAAATCATTGAAAATACCTAATTTAATTGAAAATGTCTAATTTAATCGACATTTCGCTTTGTCGAAAGACGACTTTTAATATTCTGAAAATGGTCGACCTTAAGTCGATTCATAATCGATAGTTAAAGTCGACGATAAACCATACTAGAAATAGTTGACTAAATGTCGACTTAAAGAGACGACTTCAAATTGTCAATCAATTTTATAAAAAAAAATTCTTACTCAAATATAGTGTCAATGATGAACATCTCTTGGAGAGGAAAAGCGAATTGTTTTGGACGAAATATAGATGTGCCCATCGTTGTCAGAACTAAGAAAAAGTACAGAATGTACTCTAATGTTACCATGAATTTTTTAATAAGATGTTCTTCATCATATCCAGTGCAATTATTGTTCCAAGACATTTGACTTAACATGGAAAATAATACAATAAGTATAAAAGTATATAATCTGCCCACATAACTCGACAAATTAATCCCCAGAAGACGCGAAATTTTTTCGAGAGATTGACCTGTAGAAGTTGGAAGTTGCAATTTTTTTGAATCCATTAAGATTTTCTGAAAATGATTTTTTTAACAATCTTAAAGAAGTCGAAAATGTGAACTTATTAATATTGACCAAATATACTTACTCTAATACAGAATATTACAAAAAGAATTTTGTTTACACATTCAGTATTCGTATAACTATGCACGTATTAGAAATCACACTGATTCGCTACATGGCTTTATAATTTTATCGTTATCTTTAATCAGAGTTTTATTGATCGCTAAAGAAAAAAATCTGCTATTATAAAAATAATGCTAAAAACGTATTTATGTAGTATTTACATTGATATAACATACAATTATTTATATTGATCTAACCAGGAAAAATTGTCTACATAATCATTTGTAACACGTACACACGCACGCGTGCACACATACACACACCTAAGTATATATATATTTATATACAGGGTGGGCCATTTTAAGTGATCCACCCCAATAACTTTTTTATATTTGAATGTACAACAAAATGTTTCAAATAAAAGTTGCTTGACTTCGAGGAGGACAGAAGATGGGTGGCAAAAATTTGACCTTGGATAGTCATTTGAAGGTCACATAAAGATTACCTTCAATTTCTTAAATGGAACTCCCTATTTTTCATTGCATATTCTTGTAGCTTATCTCGAGAGCTTTCCAAAACACTATAATTAAGTACCTTTTTATTAAGTACTTTTTGAGTTATAAGGCTTGAAATAATTTCTTAATTTTACATAAACCATAAAATATCTAGTAAACCATTCATTTTTCGATTATCTTACCTTGATACTTTTATATACAAAATAATGAGAGGAATCAATTGGTGTAAAGAAAACATACAATTGTTTTTAAGAAAAAATATGGAATTGTTAATTGCAAATTACATATTTTTTCTTAGAAACAACTATGTGTTTTCTTTACACCAATTGATTCCTCTCATTATTTTGTACATAAAAGTATGAAGGTAAGATAATCGAAAAATGAATGGTTTACTAGATATTTTATGGTTTATGTAAAATTAAGAAATTATTTCAAGCCTTATAACTCAAAAAGTACTTAATAAAAAGGTACTTAATTATAGTGTTTTGGAAAGCTCTCGAGATAAGCTACAAGAATATGCAATGAAAAATAGGGAGTTCCATTTAAGAAATTGAAGGTAATCTTTATGTGACCTTCAAATGACTATCCAAGGTCAAATTTTTGCCACCCATCTTCTGTCCTCCTCGAAGTCAAGCAACTTTTATTTGAAACATTTTGTTGTACATTCAAATATAAAAAAGTTATTGGGGTGGATCACTTAAAATGGCCCACCCTGTATATAAAATATATAGAATCATTTTCTGTAGACTAAAGTTTTTTATTTCAAATAGTGATCCCAGTTTATTACCCTCTCCACACCCCTCTTCCAACTCCCATTCTTTTTTTTGTTATCCCATTCATTAAAAACATTTCTAAAAAATTTTATACAGTTATACATAATAGTGATAAGTAAATTAGCGTTTTTAGTCAACAATAGATTAAATAAGTTGCACAAAGATCCTTTACCTAAGAGTGGAATCACTCTAACGTAATCTATAAAATCATTTGTAACAATTGTGACGCATCATATATTAAAAAGACGAGTAGGCAATTAGCTACTAGAATAAAAGACTATCAATCTAATTTTAATAAATCTTTAAGTTCCTTAACAGTACTGTCAACACAGATTACTTGATCATAATTTCAATTGGGAAGACACAATAATTTTGGACACAACAATTTTGAAGAACCCTCGTATAAAAAAAGACTAGTAGTTGGGATGTTGCACATCTGTCACTAAAAAAACGAATTAAACCTATCTATTATAATATCAAAAATTGCCTTTCAATTTCAAAGTCTCCCGCCTGCTCTCCACCATCTTCTTCCTAGTATTACATCATCCTTCTTTTTCTCCTCTCTTCGCCCTCCCTTTCACATCTACCGCCTACATCCTTTGTTATCACTGTTTTAATCTTTCTCGCGCCCTCATTCCTTCATTCTATATGCATAGCGTTATTTCTTCTATCCCTCGCTTTTATTCTTTTTTGTACATATTTTTATCGCGATTTTTGCGCTTGCTTTTAACTTAGTAATAATAATTTGCAAAAAAATTGTTTATCATGGCTTTTCTCTAACGATTGTTTTTTTTCTCTCTTATTTACTGTAAATCAATTTCTGAGAAAAAAAATGTTTGTCGACAAGACCATCTTCAAGATTAAAATGTTATTTTGGAGTGCATTATCTAAGATATAATCCAACCCGTGTCCGAGAGGGGGATGAATCACTTTGCATGGAAAGTGAATACAATGAATTCCATCCCAACTTACGGCGGGGAGGCTCCATTTCTGAAAGATATAATTTAACCTATCCAAGAAACACATTAAAGTTAAGAATAAGTTAAAATGACGTTATTTTGACTCGAAATAGTCATGTGACGAAAATTTGACCTTAGTAATATATACTGCTCGTGACAGAAAAATGACTTTGCGCTTGTCTTGCAAATTTAGTATAGTAGTATAGTATTAAGTTTAGTATACGTAAAAGTTCTGAAAATTATTATTAATGTATATGGTTTTATGTCACTTCGATGCCATCAATGGATCATTTTTTATAATTTAATAGCCTTTCTATTATCATCTTACTTTTATATACATTTATACAGTGAGTTTCTACATTTGCCGCTATGCGGCGTACCACAAACTTAACTAAACTCGTATTCAATTTTTCATCATGAATGTATAAAGGATATATATAAAGTGCTACTAAACATTAGATAAGATCTATAGTATATTTTTTTCCTTTTGTGAGCAATAGTGTCAGAAAGAGAACAATGCTCACATGCACACAATCAGAGAACCACGTAGCAGCTCTCTGCTTGTGTGCGTATAGGTAATGTCCTCTTCCAGTTCTTGGCATCACTATTTATCAGTTTAATTTCTACTAAACTAAATTTAAAATAATTTATTTAATAATCTGGATTTCTTGTTGGAATTCAGAATATTAAGCAGATTATTTAAAATTAGGCGGATATAAATGAGAAATAATTCATTTATTGCGTATATTAATAATCGTCAACAAATTGTCAAATTTTGTAACCAAAAATCGTCATTTTGATTTTTTCTATTGTGATGTAATTATGACGTCAAAATGATGTCATTTTGACTACAATGTGTTCTTTGGGTAACTCAACACACTTATTATTAAAAATTAAAATTTGGTTTGAGAGTGGACTTTGCTTTGTGCGGAGAAAGTTACAAATGCAGAATTGTAGAAACATGGATATCATAGTCGAAAGAATACTAATAATATTAATTTACATTTTTCTCGTAAAACACTACTTTTACAATAATAATGTATACAATATAAATGTTGCGTTTTTAAGAAAAGAATAACTTTTATTTAAAATTATTTCTACTAAAATATTTATTAAGATAATGAAAAAAATATGTAATACAAAAAAATTTTTTATTCTTTATTTTCACTTTGAATGTCCTTGTCGCCCATTTTCATGTCGCCCATTGTCATATTCGTAATCAGCGCGTCGAAATACATTAGTATGTAAAATTTCAAAACAATCGGAGCCACTTTATCTTCAAAGACATTTTTTACGCAAAAATAATATTTCAGAAATTGTGGTATAAAAAGTATCTATTTCCATTTTAAAAAATTAATTGACTTCAAAAAGACTTTGTAAACTATCACTTACTAACATTCCTTACATTCCCTTTGAAATACTGCAACTTTTGTTTAAAACATTTTTCCGTAGAAACAATATTCTTGAAGATAAAAATTCATAACGCCTTATTTTACCCTATATGTGAATATATGTGAATATACAGGGTGTATCTCAAAAAGCTCCACTAAGCAAATAGCGTTATTCCTGATTAAAAACCGAGTCGAAAAGTTCTGAATCATTTTTTTCTATAATGCTTAATAAAGCAGTACTTAATGAGTAAAGTCGCGTCAATCAGCACCGAATTTAGCCTCCTTAACGAAATTTTCTTTAAAGAAACGCTTTTAACGGAAGAAATATGATTTTTAATCCTTAATTAAAAAATGAAGTTTTTCGCATTATAAAAGAAAAAAATGGTTTAAAAAAATGGTTTCAAATTTTTTTCATTATAGGAAAAAATGGTTCAGGACTTTTTGATTCGGTTTTTAATCAGGAATAACGCTATTTGCTTAGTGGGAGCTTTTTAAGATACACCCTGTATATTATAAACAGTTGCGCTCATAAGTATTTTGACAAACAGTTTTCGGAACGCGCACAACTAAAAATTAATATGATAAACAAAGTTCAGTCACTTACGACGTCTGGTAAGAGACGCATGTACAAGTCACAAATAAATCCGAATTAAACAATTATTACTTTTTATTTTTTGTTTTCATTATTTGCTTGGATCGTAAGTATTTTGACAAATATTTTTGAGAGCATTAAATCTAAAAAAAAGATTGTCTTAATATTTTGAAATTGATTTAAATGTTAGAAATATTATGCCGAAGAAATAAATGCTGAAAAAATATTATGCTGTCATTCGTGCTCTGAATGAAGGACGTACACAATCAAGTGTTTCTTATGATTTTGGCATATCACAACAACTTGTAAGTGTTTGTTTGGAATCGTCGCTATAAAGACAGAGGAGAAGTATACAACAAGAGTAGGTCGGGACGTCCACGAAAAACAACTATTCGGGAATTAATTAAAAGACAGTCTATAGCAGATCCTCAAAAATCTGCCACAGCTATTGCTAAAGATTTATATGAAAATTATGGAGTAAATGTACATGTTTCTATTATAAAACGACGTCTCAAAGAACAAGATTTAATAGCTCGACGGTCCAGTAAAAAACTCTAATTTCTAAAAAGAACAGAAAGGCCCGAACATTTGCTAAAGCTCATCAAAATTGGACATCAATTAAGTGGTACTATGGAGTGATGAAAGTAAATTTAATTTATTTTCTTTCGATAAACCACTTGGATCGTTGTTATCGTTTTTTTAAACGTTCATGTGGTGATCCTTATTTTCAATAAAAGAATGTAACCTCTTTTACGTGGAACAAAATGCATTTCCCAATTTTTTGAATTGGGAATAAGAAAAAATTAATGAGCACAGATAATTTAAAAGAAAACCTGAGTTATTTTAAAGTAATTTTATTTTAAAGTCATTTTTAAAATTTTTCTTCATAACGTGATCTCACGTTTAGCAATTGATTATTCAATTCGTGTGTGTATTTTTATATTAGTACGAAAATCATCAATCAGAATGAGAGTGATTCTAATATTAAATTTTCAGATTGTAACTAGTTAGTATAATTGCAATTATTTTTTCTATTTAATTAAAAATAAATCAATTGAGTGTGTTTATATGAAAAAAATGAATGGAATCGGGAATTCGATCTACTATAGATAGGAAATGTAGGTTACTGGGTTAGAAAATAAGCGAGGGAAAAATCGATACAACGTTAGTTACTGAATTAATTTAGCTATAAAAATAGCTATAAAAATTTATTTAATTCTAAGAAAAGAATAAAAGGATTAAATTAACTTTCTACTTATGTTAAATCTTTTGATATATTGGTGATATATGGTAATATGACAAGGTGAAATAGTCTTTAATAGATTAATAAGGATATACACACAAAATGAAATATATTATATTAATATTGTAAACATTGAATTGCACAGCTAAATGAAGAAAGATTTATATATTGAAAACTGTATGTAACGATAATCTAATTGTTTTCCTGTTTTATCTTTTTTTGGAGTGTTCTAAATTTTTAAAGATTACATTGCTCCAACATTTTAGTATTAAAATTGTTAATGTTGTATATCTTTATTCATGGGATCCAGTGAGCATTATTGAGAGGAAGAAGTCTTTAAGAGGACTTTTTGAAGACTTCATTAATTTTTTTTTTTTAAATGACATCAATAAGTTATCTTTTTGTAAGATGTCTTTCAAAAAAGCTCTTTATGATGTCTACTTATAGATGTCTTTAGAGTTCGCTTACTAGAAACTTTAAAGACATCTACACTGAGAAAACGTTTGATTGCGTCAACAAGACGTATATGATTGAAGGCATTTTGGTTAAATCAAACAAGAATTTCTTTCAGTTATCATGATAAAATTCGATTTTTTATAACTAGAACGTTTAATAGATTTTATTATAAGGATTTTGTATTTTCTGGTTGGATCTATAAAATTTTTTGTTACATTAATTTCTTTGCTCGCCGCTAGGCGGCGAGCCACTCTTAACTTAATTCGTATTCAATGTTTGCCATGAAATGTATATAAAAAACTAGAATTAACATTAAATCGAAAGTATATTTTTTTCCCTTACGAGCAGTAGTGTCAGAAAGAGGACGCTAGCTTTCTGATTGTGTGTGTTTGAGCTGCATCCTCTTCTTGCATCACTGTTTATCAGTTTAATTTCTAACAAACTGAATTTAAAATAAATAATTCTATAAAGACCTAACCTAACCTATAAAGAAAGTCTTAATGGTAACATTTTCTTAACATCTATAATAAGTCAGATTGAAGTATTTTAGATGTATGTGATGTCTTTTTTTCCTCTAAAATCGACGCATTAGAGGACTTATTGATATCATAATGTTATCATCTAGATAGAATTATCGGATGTCTAACTCTTGAATCTGAGTGCTTTAAGAACTTTTTTTGATAACTTATTGCTCACTGGGTTATTGCTCACTGGGATGTCTCTCTCATTTTATGCATTTAAATGATGGTTGACTGGTAAATCAGATATCAGTTTAAAATTTCTTGAATTGTGATTGCATAAATTATTTTTCCTATTTTTTGACTCTAATATATAAAATATAATTTACATATAATTATATATATTTATATATAACTATATATATAAAAATTTTTCCTTAAAAAGATGTTCTTTATAATATATTCGAACATATAAATTATATATTAAATAATATATATATATATATATATATATATATATATATATATATATATACAGGGTCTACCAAAAGTGTGGAAACCCCTAAATATCTCGGAAAATATACGTTTTACAGAAAAGTGTTTCCAACAAAAGTTGTAGGGTTTAAGAAGATCTATATACTGATTCTATCAGTTTGACCTTGGATGGCGTCGTCAAGGTCAGGTCAAGGTCACATTGACTTTTTTAAATGACACCCCCTACATTTGATTGCATATTCTTATAGCTTAATTCAAGAGCTTTCCAAAACACTATAATAATGTTCATTTTTATTAAGTACTTTGCGAGTTATGAGGGTTGAAATAATTTCTTAATTTTACATAAACCATAAAATATCTAGTAAACCATTCATTTTTCGATTATCTTACCTTCATACTTTTATGTACAAATTAATGAGAGGAATCAATTGGTGTAAAGAAAACACATAGTTGTTTCTAAGAAAAAATATGTAATTTGCAATTAACAATTCCATATTTTTTCTTAAAAACAACTGTATGTTTTCTTTACACCAATTGATTCCTTTCATTATTTTGTACATAAAAGTATGAAGGTAAGATAATCGAAAAATGAATGGTTTACTAGATATTTTATGGTTTATGTAAAATTAAGAAATTATTTCAACCCTCATAACTCGCAAAGTACTTAATAAAAATGAACATTATTATAGTGTTTTGGAAAGCTCTTGAATTAAGCTATAAGAATATGCAATCAAATGTAGGGGGTGTCATTTAAAAAAGTCAATGTGACCTTGACCTGACTTTGACGACGCCATCCAAGGTCAAACTGATAGAATCAGTATATAGATCTTCTTAAACCCTACAACTTTTGTTGGAAACACTTTTCTGTAAAACGTATATTTTCCGAGATATTTAGGGGTTTCCACACTTTTGGTAGACCCTGTATATCGACCTATGTGCCTAGGGTAACCAGCAACGATTAAGAGAGTCCTATTTTGAATTGGCCAATTGGCGACGTGGTCAATCAAATCCCATCCAATTATAATATACGTGACGTAAACTATAGATTTTCAGTACTGGCAGTAAATTCAGAACACGGCCTGTATAGGCCGTGTTCCGAAATTACTGCCAGTACTGCAAATTCTATAATGCACGTTACGTATATTATATATTTTCAGTGCTGGTAGTAAACTGGCAGTAATTTCGGAACATGGTCATAGAAGTCTGTGGTTTCAACGCATGTAAAAATGTTATCATTCAGGCTTAGATTTAAAGCAAGTCTTCCTCAAAATTTATCAAAAATATTGAAACTTTTCGCGACACGCTCGAACATTTTGGAAACGAACAGCAACGAATCGGAACGTTAGTACTAATTACACTGGTCAACACTCAAGTTTTTTCCTGACATTTAACATGTAGTATAGGTTATATCTAAGACACTGATTACGAAAAAAATATTAGTTTAGTTGTATCAGCTCTACTTTTTTTATTTACAAGATATTACAATTATATCGATTATCGATATTTTTGAAAGATGTATTCGCCACAAATAACAAAAACTACCTGGATTATGTAAACAACGTCTCCGAGTCGAAGACATATCGAAAGTTAAAAAAATAATAATTTTGAGTCGAGTAAAACTCAAAAAAATTGCACGTGATGTCTAAAGGGGGTAGTCTAAAAATAATAAAAAACAAGAGTTGTTAAAAAAAAACTACTGTCGTCTACTCGAAATCAGCACACTTAAATAAGCTCAAAACTGCAAAATTATAAGAGGAAAAAGTTAAAATTATTTTTTTTGTTGACCAGTGTTACCTATCTATTCTAATCTATTGGAAACAAAAGAATTTACATATCTTCATTTTTCAGAATTTCGCGTACTGGACCTTTACCCACAAACGAAAGTTATGCAGGAGAAGCGAAAAACACGAAAAACTTCTATACCACCATCGAGAGCTACGAATATGCCTACCGACCAAGATTGGCCGTCAGTATGGCCAGGTGCACGAACCTTTCATCCTGCTTCAGTACCTTTACCATTACGTCAAGGATATCAGGAAAAGGGTGCGTCACCCAATAAATATGCCAACGCTGAGCTTATGAAAATACCAAATTTCTTACATTTAACACCGCCGGCAATTCAGAGGCATTGCGAAGCGTTGAAACAATTTTGCACAAAGTGGCCCACAGTTTTGGAAAATGAAGAAATATGTTCGAAACACTTTCCCATTGAAATTATTTCATCCGATTATTGCTACTCTTCGCCCACTATCAGAGATCCACTCGCTAGGATCGTGAATCTGCAAGTAAAACTATCCTCGCTTTATTTAGATACTCATGCCAAGGATAAGTTATTAAGATTATTGGGAAATAAATATAATCCAGAAACAGATATAATAACAATTACAGCTGATAGATGTCCACTTAGGAAACAGAATTTAGAATATGCTTGGTATCTTCTCATGGCAGTGTATCATGAATCTTGGGTAAGTAATGTTAACAGTAGTAGTCAAATAAGTAAGGATAAATGCAAATAAGTATAATTTAATTTATTAATTTATTAAATTTTAATATTAATTTATATTAATTAATATAACATAATTCCCGAATATTTTATATTGTAGAGAGTAGAGTCTTGGGAAGCTGAGAAATCTATAGCAGATATGGAATATTTCGATTGGGACACTAGTCAGAGTCGTACGAGTTTAGTAACTCTATATACATGGCCGATACCGCCAACTGATTACGATTATGAAATTATCCCACACGCGACAGAATATAAAATTGCAGTCTCAGATCTTATAAACAATGGTGAAGATCAATATTCAGTTAACAAATACAAAGAAGCTGTTAAAAATTTGTTAAATCTCAAATGTGACAATAAAGAGTGAATCAGAGTAGCAAAACTAACTAAATTCATCACTTTACTAATGGTATTATCATTTCCTACAATTTTTGTAAACAGGAGAGTGTCCCACTTTAAAAATCAATTTGCCATGCACAATTTTACACTCGTAAGACATGCATGTTATAACAGTATAATGAGAAAATTAGAATTGTTGTCTGTAATTGTATTCAAATTTACTATAATTTACTATAATTTTAACAATTGGAGCATGAAAGGTTATTCAGAATATATAACGCATCGAAAACGTTAAAATATCTTATTGTTGAAATGTGAGGTAAACAGACAAATAAAAAAATGCTGAAAATTTCGTTGCTGCTCAGTGTATTTGTTGACATGATTCTTTGTGAAATTTATCCAGTTCATTCCAAGACAATTACAAGCCAAGCATCATCTTGTAAAAATCCACCTCTATGTTATTTATCGGATACATATAAGAGCGAATCAAAAAATATACTTTTACCTTATATAAATTCTCACAATTATGGCAGGCAACAGTCAAATCTTCAACGTAGTTACTATGGTGGATTTGACTCGTCCACTTTACCAGCTTATTACTCGTAAGTATTTTTTTAGATATGATAAATATATATTAAACATTATTTTATTTAAATGTAATTTTTGTTGCAATTATAATATTACATATATTTTAGGGCTTTCGATCCTATTAGTATATTAGCGTCATTAGCATTTTTAGCATTTCTATTGCAATCATTCGCTTCACTCTTTGATCGTTCGAGGTCAATTTTGCCAACGATAATTAGTGGCCGACAATCAACTATAGATTTAACTATTCCAGAAATTTCGAAACATATGTCACGCGCTTTGCAGGAATACGTAAGTATTTCAAATTGGATAACAATGTATTAATAATAATATAAAATGATAAAACGATAAAACATTATATTTACTTTCAGGAAAATCTTAATGAAGATTTAGAAAATAATTGAAAATAAAAATACTGACAACTTTTTGCTATTTACATGATACAATTTTACATCAAGTCTTATCGTTTCTTATTGTACAATTGATTTTTAAAATTTTCTTTGCGATGAAAATACAAGCAATCGACATATTGTGCACACAATAGAAATTTTATTCCGTTTCAGACGAAATTTCTTTTGATTAATCTTGAGTAACTTTTTAAAGCTATAATTGCATCACACATGTATACGAGTGCATAAAATGTAATAAAAAATTTACAGCTATACAAAAATTATTTTTAAACCTTATACACTTATACATATTTTTCTTTTTAAACTGAAAAACATAAGATAATATTAAAGTCATTTTATTATATAGTTGACTTTAAATGTATAGTCAAGATCTATTTAAGAAAAAAATGACAATGTTCAGTTTTATATATATATATATTTTTTTTTTATTCGGATTTGCTTGATGGATCCTTGTTAAAATTATAACTATTTAGCATAAGTTCTAATGTTGTATTGAAAAAATATCTCAAATTTTTTCTCTAATATTACCATGGAACTCTGGTAGATGGTAGAGCTGGAGTAAGTCTGTAATAAAATATTTTATTTATTAAATTATGAATTATTAAAATATATATATACAAGTGTTCTATATAAAACTGGATATTTTTTTAATAATAGACTCTAGGCAAAATAATTTGGAGACGAAATTTCTTTAACGAAAATATATCAAAAGATATTTTTTTGCAACTTTCCATTTTTTAAAACTGGATATTTTTTTAATAATAGACTCTAGGCAAAATAATTTGGAGATGAATTTTCTTCAACGAAAATATATCAAAAGAAATCATTATTTTTTTGCAACTTTTCATTTTTTATCATATCTTTATAACTAAATCTTAAATTAAAAATCTATTAAAGTAAATTTCACCTGAAATTAATTAAAAAATGTAGTTTTATTAATCTTTTAATTCTCTCCCCAGATGTTTAGTTTGTAGAAAATTTGTTTTTCTTAATCATTATTGATATCTTGATATTTTCATCGGGAAAAAATCGTTCCCAAATTAAGAGAATCTATTATTAAATGGATGTGTGTTTAATTTTAGGATACTTTATATGTATGTGTGTATGTATTAATATATTCGTGCACGCGTATACCTGAGTGTGTATATAAAATCTATGAAAGAATGGTTCAGATATAAACTGAGATTTATTTATTGTTTAAAATCTCAAACATAAAATCAAGTAATGTCACTAGTAATGAAAAGGACATATCTGCTCTCTCTATAATTATTATTCAATTCGTTCAAGTCAAGAGATCAAGGCAAAATCAAGGTTAATATATTTATATTCTATAACATATAAGTTTTTAGTCTCTGAATAATGAAAACGTTAAGCAACAGAAATTTTACATACATTTCGGTTTGGGAAGATTTTTTTCTAAAATATTGGGCAAAATACTTTAAAAAAAAATAAATGGAAAATGAAAATCATTCTCTCATCTAATTCTAAAGCTTTGTGTAAGAAATCTGGTTCTTAGAGCTAAAAAATTCTTTCTATTATATTTATACAGGGTGTCCCAAAACTCATAATCAATCTTTCAAAGACAGATTCCTGGGATCATTTGGAGACGATTTTTCCTCAGCGAAAATGTCGATGAAGGCTATTTTTGAAGGTCATTTTTTACATGTTCCCGATTTTTGTCATTATAAATCTTTGCAATTAAGCCTTAAATTAAAACTCATCTAAAGTAAACTCTATTTAAAATTAATCGAAGAATGTGGTTTTGTTAATATTTTATTTCTACAAAGCTTAGTTTACGAAAAACCCCTTATTTCCAATCACTTATAATTCGAAAATTGTTAGTGCCTCGACATTTTCATTGAGGAAAAATCGTCTTCAGATGATCCCAGGAATCTGTCTTTGAAAGATTGATTATGAGTTTTGGGACACCCTGTATAATTTCTATTATATTTATATAATTTTTATAACTATATTTTTTAAGAAAGAGATTTATATATTTTCAAATTATTCAAATATTGAAAACATTGCATTGGAAGTGCACGGGAAAAGTGAAAAATAAATTTTTTTTGTAAATAATTTGTCTTTAAGAATAAATTTCGATTTTAATTTGAATTATATTTTATATTTTGACATTACTTGTATACATTTAAATTTTTGTCTGTTTTAGAAATACTAAAAGGTACTAAAAAAATACAAAATCAAAAGTAAATATTCTTAATATTTGATGAATTAACTTTTTACATTATAAATTTTCTCTCTATCATTTACCTCTTTCCAATAACATATTTATGATACGGATGCGTCGTCATAAGGCCGCGCCTTTCTTTATTACGTATCACCTTAAGCGCCACATCTGTTTTTTCCTCGGCATTATTGTGTCGAGACGGAAGTGGTGTAAAATTAGTTGTGTTACTCTTCAGCTTATTTAAAATGGCAATACTTTTAGCGCTCATTTGAATAGGTTTTTGCTTATTCATATTCTCCTTACCAACTCGACCATTCTGTACAGTACTTTTATTATTCATCAATTGCTTTTTTATTTGCTTTGAGGGTGTGCTGGTGTTTTCACTATTTTTATCAGACAGGATACGTTTCCTTGGTGTCATTTTTGAATTAGTCTTCTCACGGGGAATTTCTTGCACAAATTTGTCATTTAACATATTATTTTCATGACTATTGCTTTCGCATAAATTAGTGATATTATCCATATCATTGTTCCTTTCGCTTGCAGTAGCATCGAAAGTAGAATTTAAAATATTTGTATCGCGATCATCGCACTTGTCATCATTTGTTTCCGATATTTCCGATTCCGCTGGCATAGGATTATTTAATGGATCCATTCCTATCATACTCAAGCAAGTAAACACATTGAAATTTTCCTCATCGTTTATTGTGTCTGAGTCAGACCATTTAATATTTCGGAAACCTTCAAGCAACTTTATTAATTCTTTGAATTCGAGTTGCATTTTATCGGTCATTGTTCCATAGCCTTTCACGATATTATAATAATTTTGCAATGTATTACTCATTACTTTCATTATAGTGTTAACCGATTGCCTCTCGCATTGCAGGAGATTACAAAACTTTTTCATGTGGTGCTGCATATTAGGAATCCAACATTTTTCAATGTCGGAAATTTGTAAAGACAATTTACTCTGTAAATTCTCATCGAAAGATTTAACTTTCTGTTGGGAAATATTTATTTCTTGTATTTCTGTCTCGACTGAACATAATTCCTGCCATATCGCTTGCATTTGCGCTTTAAGAGAATCTCTTTGACGTTGGAAATAATGTAAGGATTTGTTAATACGAGATTTTCCACTAGCATTTTGTTCTTCCACCGATACACAACCAACAGTTGTTAGATTATGCAGTCTTTCATCCGCGTCTTTTTTGTAAAGTATCCTACAGGCTAAAATCTTATCAGAACTTTCCAAAGTCAGCAATTTTTCAATCAAATCCTTTTTCTTTTCATATAATTTTGTGAGTCTGCAGTGCATCTCCAACATCAATTTATTTGGTTTATTTGCTAGCGATGATTGTAACGTTCCACTTTCAAAAGCTGCTAATCTTGATTTCAAAATATCTATTTCCTTCTTCTGTTCCTCCACTATTTTGATATAGCCAGCAACATGCATTTCGCAAGACACATTCTTTTTGGCATGCGATTTGATTTTCTTCGCACGATTTGCATATCTTAAGGTATTATACGTATCTTCATAAGTAAGGCTGGAGGGACCAATATTAGCTATCATAACAGTACGACAATTGCCACCGAGTGAATCTTTTAGTAGCCTTGTGAGTTTGGAATCTCTAAACGGAATATGTTTTATACCATCCGCTAAATTATTTATACAATTTCCAAGGGCCAATAAAGATTTATTAATGTTGGCGCCTTCTTTAAACCTTATCCCTTTGCAACCAGTAGCCGAGGCTCTTTCGGATCCCGCTAAATCGATCATGGATAGCTTGACTCGCTGCACTTGACTGTCTAACTTATTAATTATCTTGATATATACTTGGAAAACCGCATGGCTTCTACTACTTTCCTTATTTGCATCTGTTGGATGTTGAGTGCGATTTTTATTACCCTCTGCCAAGAGTGATAGTAATTCCTCAGCACTTTGGATAGTGATTGGTTCCAAACCGGCGACTACGACTCCACATCTACCGTCTTCTCTCAAATGCAATTGACCCGATTTATGCAGTAAATCTTGCACATTCTCATTATATATTTCCAGATAAGATACGCCCAAGTGAAATTCACGATGCTTGGTCTGTTTTTCGATCTCGGAGAAGAGTTCCGCTACAGTACGATACGTAATACCAAGATCCTCTTTCGTGCCCAACATCGTATGGGTTTTACCAGCGCCAGTAGCACCGTAAGCGAACACGGAGCAATTGTAGCCATCGAGGAGACTGGTAATCAAGTTCTTGGTGCTTCCTTCGAACACATTAGTATTGGTGGCCGTTGAGCTGAAAATCCTGTCAAAAATGAACTGAAGCTGTTTGTTCTGCTTTTTCAACATATCTCTACCTTTTTGCGCTACATTGTGAAAAAAGAAAGGTGTCTCGTGTTCCTTCGGATCAAAGATCAACATCTTATCGTCAACGACTTCGACTACCGTTCTGCTATTATCCTGCAACTCCCGTTCATTATGTGGACGGACTCTGACGATTACTTTGATGGATATTTCAGAAGTATCCTGAGTTGACATAATTGCAGTGCCACTTGTACTCGGCTTCACTGATTCACTACTCGATAACTGCACCTTTTCCGTTAATTTCTTAGCTCTTCTAGGCGAGAATGCCTTCTCAAGATCCCTCTTGTTGAAAACCATTTTTTTTATGTTGTCTAAACAAAATATTAATGCTTTTATTATCTTATGAATGTCTTTGTTAAACAAGATGTATTATTATGCTTTGATGAAATAATAAATAGAATTAAACACGTTTACTCAGAATGACTTACTCAATTGTTCTCATCAATTCTCACATGGTGCGTGGCTGTGTATGATACAGGCTATTATTACTGCAACTTTGAAGATATTTCGTGGATTCCAACAGGATTCTTATTTCTTTAGCGTCTGAGAATATACTATTCCAAACGACTTTTGTTGCGAAACAAATTTATGTCAAAATCAACGCGTATGGTTAAATCTAGTACTCGATATCGAGCAAAACACGCGAAAAGCCGTTAGCGTTTTATATACGGTTTTGAATTTTAAATTGTTTTAATAACGTTGACATGATCATTTGCAGGGTCGACAAACTAACGGCGTTCTTGAATGGCCGCATTCAGCGGACTCGATCGCTAAGTGATAATCGAACGTGATTGGTTTCTACTTTCAGTTCCGGCCAATCAGCGTCGAAATTACATCGGAAAATCTAGTAATGTTGCCAAACTGTTGAATCCACTGAATGCACTAATTGGCCACATTCAGCGAACTCAATAGTTAGACAATATTACTAGATTTTCCGATGTAAAGGCCATTCTACAATAGCTGTAGCATAAGGCTGTAAGGCATAAGATTCAAAAAATTGACTAATCACAGTCAAATATTAAGAGAATACTCGACTATGATTGGTCAATTTCTTGAGGAGTCCTCAGGCCGAGTTTCCACTGAGCGCGTCTCGCGTCGCGTCAGCCGGCGCGTCAGCCGGCGCGTCACGAGTTAACCAATCAGAACATCCCATTTTATTGCATAATTTGTGATGTCTTTTTGGGTGACGCATTGGTAAGATTGCTCTATTTTGGACTTTTGGATGAAACCGCGCATTCACCATGACGCAACCCGCCGATAATGAAATGATATTTATTGTTAGTTCAAAATTATTATCAAAATAATATTTTTAAGTTCCAATTATTACTCAGATATTTGATGGTGTAGCCAAAAGATTGTAATTAGTAGATTTTGTTATTTTTGTTGATTATGTCATGCTTCGCTGTATTGCTTGATATAAAAAAATAGTTGTTTTTTAAACTCTTATTTACAATTTAAAAAGTATCACAATTAATACAAAACATAATACAAATGTCTATTATATGACAAATGTAAATTAAACTAAAACGATTTATTTCAGATTATTATGAGCAAGTTAAAAACATAAATAGTGCGTTCGAAAATATGTTTGGTCGGTGTTGGGAAAAAAGATAAAGTTGGCAGTATTGAAAACTCCCAATGCTGCGTTTCGTTTCTCCCACTGGGATCATTAGGATTGTATTGTACCGTATATGAAAGTGTTGCAATATGTACAATATATGAAAGTGTTGCAATTAATTATTATTATGGAACAATATATTTTACTCGAAAACATCATCTTCGAGTAGTTCTTCTTCAGATAGTGATGATAATAATGAAGAATTACAAAATATTTTATTCGAAAATAGAGGTAATAACAATAGAGGTGAAAGGAAAATAATATAAAAAATAACAGATTATTTGGAAAATGTTGTTACCAGATATACAAATATTGAATTTAAATCACATTTTAGGTAAATTATGTCACTTTATTATAATTATAGCATTATTAATATAAAACACACATTCGTATTAATAATAATATATGTGATGTTATTAAATATATTATAAATATATTATATTATAAAATATATTATGTTATTAAATATTATGTTATTAAATTATAAATTATTATATATTATATATTATATATTATATATTATGTTATTAAATATATTATATTATAAAATATATTTAACTACTTGTTTACCTCTTTTAATATCTTAAGTAGCAAATTTTTTAAATCCTAGTGATCCGTTATCATTTTTGTCGCTCAAATGATCAGTTTCAGCGGCACGTGAAAATGCACCTTTAAAGAAGTGAAGTGAAGTAAAAACGCTCCATTAGTAATTTTCAATCTATGTTAAGTCTTCTTACTCCTACTTCATGACTTATGCCTTATAGAAAGTTAACATGGCTTCGGCGATATTGCAGGTGAGTGCAAAATAAATTATAGATTGTTTCACTGATAGAGTAAGAGTATCCATAAATCTGACATATATTATTAACAAAAATAAATTCACATAACAATGATTTTATAGAAAGCCATTGATCTTGTGACAAAGGCTACAGAAGAGGATCGTAATAAAAACTATGAGGAGGCTCTTAGATTATATGAGCATGGTGTCGAATATTTTTTGCATTCAATCAAATGTATGGGCATTTATATAAAGTTACATATTATTGCTCTAATATATTAGATCTATTAAAACATAAAGTATTTCATTATTTTACAAAAATGATTATATGAAGTTAGTGCAATGGGTATTTTTATAATGATTTTCAGATGAGACACACGGAGATAAAGTAAAAGAAAGTATAAGAGCAAAATGTATGCAATATCTAGAAAGAGCAGAAAAATTAAAAGCTTATTTGAAGAAGAGTAAGAAAAAGCCAATTAAAGCTGGAGAAGACAATACCAAGAATGAAGATAAAAAAAGTGACAGTGGTGACAGTGATACCGATAGTGACCCTGAAAAGAAAAAATTGCAGAGCAAGTTAGAAGGTGTTATAATAAACGAAAACACAAATGTTAAATGGAGTGATGTGATTGGTCTTGATGGAGCCATAGAAGCTTTAAAAGAAGCTGTTATTCTACCAATGCATTTTCCTTATCTCTTTACTGGAAGACGCATACCTTGGAAGGGCATTCTACTATTTGGAGTAAGTATATTCTACAATTTGATAAAATTAATTTAATACATATCTTCTATCTTCTGATTTAAAATATATTTTTAATGATTTTTTTTTTAACACTTGTAGCCACCAGGTACTGGTAAATCATATTTGGCAAAAGCAGTGGCAACAGAAGCTAACCAAGCTACTTTCTTTTCTGCATCATCATCAGATTTAGTGAGCAAATGGTTAGGAGAATCTGAGAAACTTGTAAAAAATTTGTTCGAATTAGCACGGCAAAAGGAACGTAGTATTATATTTATTGACGAGATAGATTCTTTGTGCTCATCACGTTCAGACAATGAGTCAGAATCTGCAAGGAGGATAAAAACAGAATTTCTTGTTCAGATGCAAGGTATACTCTAAGAATTAATTTTTATTAACTAAAATTGTAGATATAAAAAACCGACTTTTAAAATGAAAAACTTGAAGAAAACATGTTTTTTATAGTATTATTTAAATATATTATTTTTTTCTTTTTTGTTAATAAAAAAATTCTTATATTTTTATTCTTTTATTCCTAATATTTGTAATTTAGATTTAATTATAATTTATTTTTAATTTAGGTTTGTTCAAAAGTAACTTTAATAAAATTAATAAGACTTTTGTAATAAATTACATCAAACATGGTATAATTCTGATAATTTTCAGAGAGAGAGAAAGAGACAGATGTATAATAAAAATTTTTATGATGTATTTAATTGAAAATTATCTGAATTACATTTGATATCATTTTAATTGTAAAAGTTTTATTTATCTATTAAATATACATCTAAATATACATCATTATCTATTAAATATACTTTAAAACAAAATTAAAAATATAAGAATTTTAATTGGTTTTTTATTGTATTAAAATATGATTTAAATACACCTTTTAAAGTATGTTCATTTTATATTAAAAAGTAACTAAAATATTTTTTACAATTATATATATACAAATATTTATATATAAATATTAACAAATACTATCAAAATTATAAATCTTTTTGTGTCTGTAATGAAGACTATTCATTCTATTCATTTTAATTTGTTTTTTTTTTTTGAGAATTTACCTTTCTTCATTCAATTTTGATTTGTTTTTTGGGAATTTATCTTTATTAAAAATAATAATTGCCTTACTATATAACCAGTTGGATTGTGATTTACATTTAAAATAATGGTGGTTAATCTAAATCTATTATTTAAAAAATCAAAAATAATAAAAAGTCAATTTGCAATATTTCAAAATATATTAAAAAGATAATATTTCAAAAAATCAATTTTAATGGTAATATATTTGAAAAAGAATGAACAAAGGGGCAGGTTTAAACAAAGGGGCAGGTTTTTTTCACAAAAAAAAAAACCATATATTGTGAAATAAAACTTCTTCTTTTTCATTTCTAGCCGAAGTAAACAAGCATAACAATTTTGTTACATTAATATTTTTTTCTACTTCCAAAAAAAGGTGTAGGAAACAATAATGAGAATATACTTGTACTGGGAGCCACCAACATACCTTGGGTTTTGGATTCTGCAATCAGACGAAGATTTGAAAAGAGGATTTACATTCCCTTGCCTGAGAAACAAGCGCGCGCTGCAATGTTTAAACTCCACTTGGGTAATACATCGCATTGTTTGACAGAAGAAGATTATAAGAAATTGGCAGCATCTACTGAAGGCTATTCAGGAGCCGATATAAGCATCATTGTACGGGATGCTTTAATGCAACCAATCCGGCAAGTACAAACGGCTACACATTTTAAGCGCGTTACAGGACCGTCACCGAAGGATCCTTCTATTATTGTCAATGATTTACTTACTCCATGTTCTCCTGGCGATCCAGCTGCTATAGAAATGAATTGGATGGAAATAGATGGTGACAAATTGTTTGAGCCACCAGTTACTATGGTAATTTTTTTTTATTCTTTCTATTTCTTTTTATAGGTCTTACAGTTAAATGTTCTAATGTTTTTTTATACTTTCCAACAATAAAATAGTTTAAACATACAATTACTTTATTTATTATAATCTAATAATATTATATAACATTCTAATAATCTAATAATAATTTTATAATGAAACACCCATATTTATAAAAGTATTTAGATGTCAAAATCTCATAAACAAAGTATAATCATATCTGAGAAGAATTTAATTTATTTATTTTGAGATCTTCTAAATTTATATTTCACATTAGAATGTTTAACTTTGGAAAATCCTGTATATTTACAAAAAAAAAAAAAGATATGTTTTAATATATGTAATATTATTGTCATTTTAGAAAGATATGTTAAAATCACTAGCAACGACCCGTCCTACCGTGAATGAAGAAGACTTGACAAAGTTAGAAAAATTTAAAGAAGATTTTGGTCAAGAAGGTTGAGAAATATCTTTGAGCTTTTTCATAATTAAGTAAACAGATTTATAATTCAATTTAAAAATTTTTAGTTATCCACCTTAATCTTCTTATAACAACATTCGACTTAAATGTCTATATAAATATACTCGAAAATGAGTTTTTTTTCTCTCCTCTTATTTCTCTTTTTAAGCGCAAAATAAATGCAACCTGGTATTGTATAAGCTTATTGCTTATTTACTTAGCGAAAATAATACATAAATTAAAAAAAATGAACTATATGTATTTTGAGATAAAAATTCTTAGATTTGTAAAACAGAAAAAAAAAGAGAGGTAAATTATTTTTATTGCGAAATGCGAAGTAGAAAGATGATGATAAGGTATATGACAAACTTTGCGTTTAATGATTTATTATGTAATTACTGATATGTATCTAACAATTTAATTGTGTAAATCACATATTTATATAGATTTATATATAGATTTTAGTCATTTCTTTATCACTTTCGATTATGGTCTTAACTGCTTTTTGTGTATTGTTCGATTCTAATTCGTGCGGTTTCAGCAATGATCGAAAATCGAATTGTGCGGATAGATAATTTAAGGAATTCGCTAACAAAAAAAAAATAGATCATAATGAGTATTATGTAATACGCTGAGTATTACATACATATGTATTGCCAATATTCAGAATAATGTTTTCATGTAAATTCTTTTTATTGTTAATTAAAAATAAATAACAAACTATATACTAATATATTTAAAAAGTAGTAAGAGTTTGCGACAATTTTAGGGAGGACAATGCCTTAAAAATTCCGAATCCATATAAACGACTGTTATGGTAATATCATCGCGAAATATCCGCACTACTTCGCTCGGCAGAGTTAATAATTGCGACAATTTGACATGATCTATTCCATACTCTGTACCACCTAAGGCGTTTCTCAGTAAATGCGTCGCTGCATTGTTATCAAGAGGTTTTTTTTTTAAGCCCTCCTTACGTTGCAACAACATCTCGTTTATGTCAAACAATTTCATATTTTTACGAGGTAATCTCAATGGGCTGAGTGTAACTTTGCCACTCATATGTTCTCCTACTAAGCGTACAGCTTGCAATGGTGAAATCAGTTCCCATAATCCATCGCTAGCTATTATAAGGAACTTGTCTCTAGGCGTCAATCTATGATATTTGACGTCTGGATTGGCCGTTAAATATGGTGGGGTATGATAATTCGGAGGGATCGCTGTCTTTCCAAAAATCGGCACAATTTTTTTTATAACATCCTTTTTCCATTTATAGCGAAAATCACCTAGCGAACGAAGCGGCGCTAATTGTCCGAGCAGTCTTTCCATCTTAATCACAGTGGATTTCTCATTTAATGGATGTTCCGACATAATTCTTTCTACCTCCGTGCGATTATCGGTATTATGCTCTACCGTCATTATTTTGGCCGACCATCCATCATTTTCTAAACAATCAATTTTATTAATATAATGAATATATAAATTTTAATATATATTAATTTTATTAATTAATATATTAATTTTAATATATAAATTTTATTATTATAATGAAATAAAGATCCGTTAGATAAAATCACTAAAAAAAAAGATAAAAGGCTACAAGGACCAGTGCAAAGGTGAAATTTATGCAAAAATCGAACGGTTGTTTCAATTTAACAAACCAAAAGAAATGTTTATTTAATTTAAACACGACAAACGCTGCGTTTTGATCCAATTCGGATCCTTTTCAATGTCGAATAACAAAGTGAGTAATAAATTTAAAAATAAAAATAAAGTTAACAGTCATTGGTAATATAAATATAATATAAATAAGGTTCAAGAAAAACACAAACAAAATAAATATTTCTTTTGGTTTGTTAAATTGAAACCGTTCGATTTTTGCATAAATTTCACTTTTGCGCTGGTCCTTGTAGCCTTTTATCTTTTTTTGATAAATTTTATTGATGTATTTTTTAATCGTAATTAATATTAAAGGCATAAAATGATAATAAAACGAAAAAAAAAAAACATTGAACCTGAGAGTACTCCTAGGACAGCTTTACAATCGCCAACGCCAGCAACATGGAGATGAGGACCGTCTATGTGTGCCACAACAGCCACCGTACCTGACATTGCAACAGCGAGAGTTCGTGCATCTTTCTTATTCAGTTGTGACAAAGCTTCATTCGATAAATCATTATCTAATCTAAGAAATGCATTTTCCAGAGCTTTTTCCATTTGAAATTCTTTTCTGTCACCAGATTGTATCAAATCTCTTACAAAATTTAAAAAGCTTTCCTGGTAAAGATCTCTAATCTCCGCTACAAATTCTACTTTATCATTGTAAGTTTGAAGCAATTCTAACTTTTTGTCAGAACCAATAGAATTCAAATATTGTTGCAGTAATTTTGGTGGTAATAAACCTGCCGATATGTAACGAAATAGTCTTTTTGATACCACTTGTGCACAGGCACCACCACCATGACCATCGAAAACTCCCAATAATACACCTATAAATAAGAAATTGGAAACATAACTAGTTATAATATATTTGTAGTAACATGAATCACTCACGAATCTGCAAATGTTAGAGCCTGGCAATAAAAATTATGTCTTTAAATTATCTATATAAATAAGAGTTAGATTATATTCTTTGAAACAGATAATTTAAGAAATTTAATTACAGGTTTGCTCCTATATACCTTTAGTTAATAAACATTGTGCTTCGGCTCGCGTATCTTCTATAGGATTATTAGACGCCAATTGATTAGAATCGTAATATTTTACAGAACTCAAACCAGAGAATTCTTTGGTATACTCGTTAGCTTGCAAAACATTTGTAACCTGTAACAGAATAACATGTAATAATGTGTATATATAAAAATATACAATAAATAAAATAATATATAAAAATATATAACAAATATATATAAGAATTAAACGTATAAATATAAAATTAATTAAAAATATAAAAAATAATATATAAATAATACATAAAATAATACATAATATAAAAAATATTAAAGATATACAGGGTGTCCCGAAACTCATAATCAATTTTTCAGACAAATTCCTGGAATCATCCGAAGACGATTTTTCCTCAACGAAAATATCGAGGCACTTATAATTTTCGAATTATAAATGATTGGAAATAAGGGGTTTTTTGTACCAGGGAGTTTTCAAACCAAGCTTTGTAGAAATAAAATATTAACAAAACCACATTCTTCGATTAATTTTAAATAGAGTTTACTTTAGTTGAGTTTTAATTTAAGGCTTAATTGCAAAGATATATGATGACAAAAATCGGGAACATGCAAAAAAATGATGGCCTTCATCGTCATTTTTGCTGAGGAAAAATCGTCTCCAAATAATCCCAGGAATCTGTCTGAAAGATTGATTATAAGTTTTGGGACATCCTGTATATATAAATAATATAATGAAAAAAAAAAAAAAGAATTAATAAGCATAAGTGAACCTCTTGCGGAGTAAGCCGTGGTAATGCCGTATATAATCGTTGGAAACTTCTGTTATCGCGGGACTTGCTTGTTTTAACACATACATGTCGAAAACATTTAACAAAATTAAAGTCAATTTTCTGTAAAACCATTCCGAATATAAAGCACCTTGCTACTTTAATATTTTAATCTTTCTTCGTTTTTCCACTACATTTTCTCTATTTCTTATAGGTTAAAACTATGTAAATACATAACAATGTGCGTTTGAATTCGTTATGCAAAAACTTCCTATATATCAGAAATTATACAATTTAATTTAAAAATAAAATGAGTTATTTCTTTTTAAAAATTAATTAAGGAGACTAAAGTTCGTCAAAACAATAATGTGATTCATATATATTTTATTATTAGGTTTGTTTTTTATTCCTGCACTGACTGAACTAGTTCAAAAAGTGCACACTGAGGGTGCCATCCCATGGACGTCGATGAAGTCACTAGATATCTAGTGACTTTAGACGTCGGAATAAAGGATGTCACATATGAATTGCCCTAACCATAAAGCGTCGTCTATAACGGCAGTAGGATTAATGGATTAAAGCAGTAACTTAGACCCCTATTTTGTAATTTGTTGTTATTTTACAACATCGTTATACTAACGACTCTCTTACGAATGATTGTTTAATGACAATTTGGAAAAAGTTATTCTATAAGCATGTCGTTCAGGTACACTGCGCAACAACGATTCGTTCCGCGGCCCCTTTCTCGCGGGGCAAGGGGAGCGTAGAAGTGACCAATCAGCTGGCAGCGTGGCAGTGACTGATTGGTTAGAGGCTACGCTCCCCTTGCTCCGCGAGAAGGACCACGGAACGAATCGTTGTCGCGGAGTGTACGAATGACTACCTCTGCTTAACGACGTTTTTTAGAAGGTTGGTACTATTTTTCTATAGTATGTGTAATGGAAATCATAGATTTTCAATGTTGGTAGTATGTCACAAACGGAAAGCAATTCTTCAAGAGCAGCCATCCGGTATAATTTTTTAAATAATTCTTCTGGAGTTTCAAATGAATTACTTGCATCTCTCAAGTTTCTATTAAATTTCCTTAATTCTTGTCTAGAATAAATTATACACATAAAATACACACACGTGCGAGCAGTAACATACTATATATCTATATCGGAGTATAAATATATATATTATATATTCATATTTAATTTTAACACATATTTATTATATTTAATAAACACATATTGAAACGCTCACCGATTTTGTAATTCGTGTAATATTACTTCAATTAATACTCGATTCACGTTCATCCTTTTATTATAATTTTAAAAAATAATTTTTTTTATTTGTGTATGCGTGTGTGATATGTAATTTACATATATCACATTTTTTTAATTGTTGAAAAGAGAAAAAAAGTAATTGCACATTAATAATAATGTTTCTTATTAATAAAGTTATGAATTAGTTTTTATCTCAAATTCTGTTGCAAATTGTAAATTATTTTAAACAAGTTTGATTTTACAAAAAATAATTTCATATGTCTATAGTTGAACAATAATTTCAAAATTAATTACTTACAGCAGTATTAAATACAGCGGACTTACGCTATTTGAAATCAACTCCTTTTTTTTATTGAAGACCGATGTATTATTAATTCGCACAAATAAAATTTCGACTTGTCATGCGGGTGTACCATAGTAGTGGCAAAATCTCAATATTATAGGTTAAAATGTATCTTATAACGACATCATTTCATTTAACAACACCTCTCTGGTTGTTGTTAAGTTTATGACAATTTCGTCGCCATTTTATCATTAATTAACAACAGTTACTATTTACAGAATAAGAAAAGTCATTCGTTAATGACAATCGTTACATAACAACATCGTTAAGGCTTACAGAATAGGGGTCTTAAGGAATTGACCAATCACATTCAAGCATTAAAACAATACTCGACTGTGATTGGTCAATTTATTGAGTTACAGTTTTAATTCATTAATCCTACTGCCATTGTAGACGACGCTGTAGACAACGTGATAAACATAAAACGTAAACGTAAGCTGAAGAACCAAATAATTGAAATCCTAGTTACTTCTGCTTATGACCAACTTTATCATTATTTCTCTCGTCTTCTAGGATACATAAAGCTAAAGCAATATTCTGATCGGTTCTTCAGCTTACGTTTACGTTTTACGTTTATGGTTATGGCAATTCATGTGCGAAAGCCATATAGTGCGTTCGAAAATATATTTGGTCGTTGTTGGAAGAAAAGATAAAGTTGGCAGTATTGAAAACTCCCAGTACTGCGTTTCGTTTCTTCCACTGGAATCATTAGGACACGACCAAAGAGAAACCTGAGAGCGGCCACCAGCCTCGACGGGCACATTTCTCGATGCTTGACGCGCCGTCTGACAAAGTGGACGTGAACTATGTCCATTACGCTCGGTAACGACGGTAACATGATTTGTATCTATGATATGGGTTCATGTCCGAACTATTCAAAGATGGACAGTCGGATAAGAACCGATAATTCATCGTTCTGTCTTTGTCTCATCAATGACAGACCACGCGACTGCCACGCGACGAGCTTACGATTTTGCTTTCCCCTTCGTCGCGCTTTTACGTTCTTCGTTATGATGTAATAACGAAATGATCTTCACATCCTAATTTTCTAAGGGTATTGGCAGACAAGTTTTCCAACTTTGTATGTTCTGTAACAAAAATACAACACATTATGAAAATTACGATTACATGCATATTTCAAGCTGACATAGCAATTGGTATACCGAATGTTTGGTAAAAAAAAATTTTTTGTCAGGCGTGTTGGTTATAATCAATTCGATAAAATGTTCATAATAGTGCGTAGCAGTGTAAGTAAGATGACTGCTTGAAGAAATCTTCAAAATGAAATCTCTGAATCAGAGAATAACACAGTTACAAATAATTTATGGTACGACCGTCATAACAAAGGTCCATATATTGTATTTGTTAGAAAAATATCTGACCAAAAGAAAAGATCTACTTCTATTATTGAAGCTGCCAGACTTCTGTCTAAGGCAAACATCAAGTTTGAAGAAATTGATCACCACGCCTGGAACACATGGAAGATTTCTTTTAAATCTTTTCATGATGCTAACTCATCAATTAAAAATAAATACATTGCGGAACTGGGACTATCATTATACATTCCCAAATAAGTTATGTAGAAAAGGTGTAATCAAAGGCATCCCAAATGATATTTTACTAGACGAACTACAAGCTACATTAGAAAAAGATAACCCGCTGATCAAAATTAATTTTTTATTCAGACTAAAAAGAAGAGACCCTAATACCAAAAAATGGATCGAGTCTCAATCAGTCTGCGTAGAATTCAAGAGTCAAGATCTTCCAAAAAGCCTAAAAATTTGGAAAGTTAATCTTTTTGTTCAACCATACGTGACTCCAGTAAGAAGATGCTACAAATGCGGTAAACTAGGACATACCAGCAAGGGATGTAAACAATCTCACAACATATGCCTGAATTGTGGAACAACGCACCTCGTATCGGCAGATATCCCTTGTAAAGAAACCCCCAAATGTATTAACTGCAGCGGTCCACACCATGCTCTAGATAGGAAATGTCCAAAATTCATTCTGAATTCTGAAATTAACAAAAAAATGGCTTTCGATAATATATCTTACCTGGAAGCAAGACGCTCGTTATTGTCTCAAAATAATCCAAATGAAACCCATCTTATCAAAGATTTAGTGAACTTCCCAAATCTTTCATCAAGGGTGGACGTTCTGAATGTGCCAGCCTTTGCAGATCTCTTTAAGAAGAATCCTCCGACATCCTGGAAAGCTGGTCTTTCTTACAAAATCAAGGACCTTCTGGTGCGGGTTACTAACTCTCCGGATGCAGAACTTATCCTCGACGAGATATTACAGTTGCTTAATGTTCGTAATAATCCCCAACGTAAGTTGGACCCGCAAACAAATAGTAAGAATGCAAATGATCCAGTCACTTAAGATAATTCAATGGAATGCAAAAAGTTTTAAAAACAAAATTAATGATTTGATTTATTTCTCTGCAGATATTGATATTTTTTTGATTTCAGAGACTTGGTTGAAGCCCAACGATCAATTTTCCTTTAAAGGTTTTGATATTAAAAGAAAAGATCGCTTGCCGAAAAGATCGCTTGCACGGTAGGGGAGGAGGAGTACTAATTTTGGTAAAGTCAAATCTAAAATACAGCATTTTGAATAATATTCCGGACTGTCAGGGAAATCTTGAGGTGTGCGGAATAGAACTTTTCCTTAAACAGGGCAAGATGTTTATCATTTCATTATACAGACCCCCATCCAGCTCTAGAATAAATTCTCGTAGCTGGCGTAATTTCTTTGCAAACTTCCGAGATAAGATCTTGGTTGGTGGAGATTTTAACCTACCTTATGATCAAATTATTCCCCTAGAGGAAGGCATCTTAGACTTAGATATTACTTTATTAAATGATGAAACCCCAACATTCTGGGATTTAGAAAGGAATCACGCGTCGAAATTGGACTTATCGCTAATTAGTTCCTCAATCATATTAGAAACATCTTGGTTAATTAACCAAGACCCTTGGGGGAGTGATCACTTCCCTATCCTCATTAATATAAATATCTCTGCATCGCTTAAATCTACAATCAAAACACCATCAAAACTTTACTCCTCTAAGACAGACTGGCCAACCTTCACTGAAAATATGAAGAGTGATATTAATAATTTCCTACCAGATCTTCTAACAATTCAAGATATTCAAGTGTTATATACATCATTCACCTCAATTATTATCAATATTACTAAAGCTTCCTCACGTAAATTTCCTCCTTCACAAAAGAACAATTGTAAAGATTATACTCACTCTCCTTATTACAAATACCAGTCTAAAATGACAATTAATCACTCATCTAACGATAATCTTTCTAGTCCAAAATCTCCAAAGATAAATAATAAACATAAAATTCCATGTCCTTGGTGGAACGAAGCATGTGATGCTCTTATCCTAGAACGCAGAAAAGCTCTTGAAAGATTTAAAACACAAAGAACAAGAACTAATTTTCTTCTATATAAAAAAGAATCAGCAAAAACAAGAATTGGTCTCAGGAACATTAAAAAAGAAAATTTTAAATCCTTTTGTGAAAATTTAAGTAAAAACTCTGACCCCACATATGTTTGGAGAAAAGTTAGGGCGTTTAAAAATAAAATCACACAATCTGAGGCGAAAAACTGTTACAATAAACAGGCAATAGATACTGTTTCCAACTTAATAACCTCCCTTTTTCCTCCAGGAACCCCTTCTTCCCCTGTTTCTCTTCCATATAAAGATTATAATGTTTCATTGGATAATTCTTTCTCACTTACGGAACTAAATTA